ATTAGGGGTGTTTTTCTTTCCACAAAAATTGCAAGGAATGCCCTAATAGCATGAAAGAGAACCTTTTGTACATTTTTACAACACCATGCTACAAAACGCAGTGGTGGGGATGTGTGGCTTATGTGAGGCTGGGGTGCTATGCTCCATGGCCAATGGGTGGGGCTTGCATAAGGGGTGGTATTATTAACCGCTGTTAACAGACCCAACTACCGTTTAAAACCATAAACTACAGAGGGGCCGACATATGTGCGCTCGGCACAAAATAAGGTCGATCTCATCTTCAGGACCGGTAAATTTGAAAGCCGACTCATGACTGGCGATATTCTTGGTGCGTGAAAGTAAAGGAAAATTTCCGTTTCACGCATTCGATCTCTAGTGTTGTAACCACAAACTCCGCCAATAAGCAACTTAAACGAACAACTACCTTCCATTTTTTATGTAATAAAGTTGACTGTGTAAGTTAGTGTATTTGTGAAAAACAAAGTCCGAAGCCCCGCCTCTAAGCGAACAATAGGTATCGTGTAATTACCATAAACCAGGTTTTGTTTACTTAGGCTTACTATTTTTAGCAGGTACTAAATTTAGCTTTCCAACGAGTATTAGCCAAAGACATCTAAGAGATTTGGATGTTCACAACAACAAAAAAGCTTAGCAGCAGAGTGACGTCTTTTTACTTTCCCCTCCCCCTACCCCCTAAAAAATAACTTTCCATTGTATCATTTGCATTGCGTGACGACTCTCCGTATACAACACTACGTTGACTGCAACATATGTGTAGTGCCACTTTTAAAAGCATCGATCAGATCTACTGCACCACAAACCGAGCAACACTCACAGTCAACTGAACCGCCGGATAAGATACCACAGTGCAGAAAGATGTCAAACGTTTTACAACGAAGGTTGGTGACAGTTTGCAGATTGACAGGCAGTTTCATCGGATGTTATAAATACGACGAGCGACAAGATAACCAAAGTAAAATGGTCTTTGGATCTTTCTTCTGCGGCAAATGAGGTTAGAGGATTTGGAAATGTGTACCCATGTACATTTTCCGGCCTCATATGGGTTGAGTCATATTAAAGTAGGAGTGTGACTCGCAACTGGAATGTTGACCGCGAAAGGTCAAATAACTGCATTTTAACGGACTTTGAAAAGCTTTCGTATCGCTCTCAATCATTTGCCCAAAGAAATTTGTATCCATTTGAAGGTTTAGCACATGCTGAAAATTAACTTTACTCACAAAGTACTTTTACTGAAGAGAAATGTATGCTTTCGAAATTAAATTATTTTACACGCAAAGAGGAACGCAGTGTTTACAAAAATCGTTTTGTGAGGTCTTATGAGGTTGAAAAAGAAGATTTGAGTGTTAAAAAGACGAGATTGTGATTCGTTTTTGAATGCAAAGCCTTCAAACTTGTGAATAATTTGCAGCTAAAAATGACGATTTTAACAGAATTTTTTTATTTCTATTTTTCTCTGAAATAAAAAGACATTTTGCCAAAAAAAGTATCTAGTGATTTTAGTTATAGTCTAGCCTATCTAATATTAAAATAAGAGAGAAATCGAATTTTTCACCCTTGCCGCGAAATTTAGAATTTGTCTGATTTTTACAGACAAGCGCTCTTAATTTCGGCGTTGGATCACTCGAGCAAAGTGTTAAGCTGGGTCGGCTCGTAATTTTCGATTTTCTCGGCAATTCCCATCTCTAAACACCACTTTTTCCAAACCGATAACCAAAAAGCAGTGCTTTTTACAGTGTTTTCGTTGTTTAAGCTGTTTTTCAGCTGCGGTGGCGAAAGAAAGTGTGCGCCTGAAATTGAACAATAAAAATGAAACAAAGCCCTTAATTGCGCGCGTCAGGGAGTAGGCGCCAAATAAGTTCTTTCAAAGTTTTTATCAATTACATAAATGCAGAAAAGGTCGCAACAGGATGTGTGGAAAAAAATGCAGGAAGTTGCACGTTCCTCCAGTTGCTTTATCATACGATTACTGGGTTTTGTGCTGATGACCAAGTTTGCTTTTATGCCTTGAATACGATTGCGAGGGCAAACACGAAAATTTTCATTTCTTCTCATAAAGAAACGACAGTCATGTCATAATTCGATATAACGCCTGTCTACCTATGGTCTCATTATGTTACAGAAATAACATCTACGAAAACATTAAGCTTTCACAGATAAAACACCTGCGCCTTAAAAGCTTCGAGAATCACAACAAATTTTGACTCAAGGAAGTTTTGCAAAATTATTATAATGGCAACACCATCTTTTTTGTTACCCGTCCGAACTCAAACACAAACCTTTATCGAGGTCTCTTTGGTCGCTCTGCTTTTCACATGCGCAGTTTCAGGAAACATCATCGTCTGCTGTGCGGTGTACAAAAAGACAAACCTCCGTACCATTCCCAATGCGATTTTCGTAAACCTTGCCGTATCGAACTTGTTGCTGGCACTGTGGCAGCTTCCGATGCTGATCATCACCATCATCAGAGGAGAATGGAGTTTTGGAGAGAAGCTCTGTAATTTTTACGCTTTCCTCGACGTTGCTTTGTTTGCCGTTAGCCTTTTCAACCTCACTGCGATCAGCGTGAATCGGTATTTCAAGATAGTCAAACCTAGCAAGTATAGAAGTGTGTTTTTCAAGAAGTCTGTCATCTTTATGACTGTGTTGATCTGGTGTTTAGCGATTTTGTTGAGCAGTGGACCGTTTTTAGGATGGGGGAAATATCAGTTTATTCCCTCCAAGGCAATTTGCTCAATCTCAGAAAAGGCTCACATCTCCTTTCGTATCACCAGCTATGTGGTGATTTCTTGTTGCATCCTTGTCATCATTGGCTGCTACATCAAAATCGCGCAAGTTGTTCGTCGCCATAGAAGAAGAATCGCGGTACCAAACAACAGGTCCCAAGATGAGGAACCAAAGCAGGTGCCACGTCCAGGGCCCTCCAGAGCCACAACAGAACCGCATGTAACCGAGCTCAGAGGAGAGGATATCCACATCGCCCGTACCATATCGATGATAGTGTTCCTTTTCTGTTTGAGCTGGGTCCCAAATGTCACCCTGAGTATTCTCGTATCACGCGGCGTTCCCGTGTCTCGCGAAGTACGCATGTTCGGCGTTTACATGATGTTTCTCGATCTCGTCATTAATCCAATGACGTTCGGGATAAGAAACAGAGAAATTCGAAAAATGATAAAACGCTTATTTTGCAAGAACTGAATAATTTCATTTCTAATTTAGCTGTGAATGTTCACTCTACACCTGTTAACAAATTGAGACAAAGTCAATTTATATAGAAAGTTGTAAACAAGTTTTAACTTAAGGTTATTTAGCTGTCAAATATTATAAAGAGAATGTCATCTCAGCTATAAACTTATACAAATAAAAGTCTCAAATTAGAGACATTGTGATTATTTTAAAGCGTTTTTATGGCATAAGGTTTTCTTTTCCATCCCGTTAGAAGTTGATGTGACATTCAGCAAAGTATCCCAATTTCGATTCCGAATTTAATGAACGCAGTCCGAACAAACTGGTGACCTAGTGTTCGATCAATTAAGACAATTTATGTCAGAAGTGATTATGCCATGTTATGCCTTCATTCAGTTTTGTTTTTAATCTGAGTTGTTATTGTGGAAATCCGCTTACTAAAAATAAAATATGTAGTGACAACTTGTTCAACACCTCATTGTTTTTTTTGTTACTTTTTCACGTGACTTATGTTTTACGACTTTTTATGTGTTTTATGCAGGGGTAGGGTGGGTAGGGTTACATCATCGAGGATGGCAAGAAAAGGCTATCAACTGCATCAGCTAAAGTAATGACTATTGATCCTTGGCGGTAATTATTACTCCGACGTAGAGTTCTTTCTTAGCGACGGGAAGAGTATTGAGTCCATTTCAGAAATCATTAAATTGACAGAAACTGACTCTAAAAGGTTTGATGTTTTCTTGGCTTGCATCGTGTACCTCTAGGGACCGAAAATGTGGTTCAAACTTCATGCAAGAACCTGTCAAGTCCACGAGTAACGTGAAGCAAAGAAAACCAAGGAAGCCAAAACAGTGGAACCAAGGAAAATGATATTCAATTGACAAAACGAGGAAAAGCTTCTCAGATTACTCTCTGATCAGCGTTGGAACCATCGAAAAACAAGCTGTAAGCGAGAACTTTGAGGGAAAATGGAAACCTCATGTTCAGGCCATACAGTGAATGATATGGTAAAGACAGGTCGATTTCTTTTCCATGGATCATCGAAGGTCTGAATAAGTTCTCCTAACTGGTTAAGCTTAATCTGATCATGCCTTCTAATTTCTGGAGTACTATAAAATGCTGAATTCTATGGTTCAAACAATAGATCTTCGGATATGATCAGCTTTTATTTATAGTTTTGTTTTAACCAAGTGTAGCGTATCTTTCCCTTGAATTAACTTTATAATTCATGGCTAATGGTATAGCATACCTCCTCGTATGTTAGGTAATGATATGAAGAGAACTGGGGAAAGGTTTGGGTTGTCTGGAATTTTATAAACAATTTTCAAGCAATACCTGCATTTGGGGTGATAGTAAATTGTGTACGTGGAAGTTAAGGAAGTTCCTACTGGTGTGAAGCACGAAATTATTCTATTCTGGCAAAGCTATAAAGTGCAAAAAGGTAAGCAAAAAAGTCAGTTTTGGATTTGGGTGGCGCTTTAAATGGAAGGGGATACACTATTCTAGTGATTTTAATGACTCTTGGTAATCTGACGTTGATCGTCAGTCGATAAACGGTTGAACTGCCCTTTCCCACATTTTGCAGGTTTAAACGGCTTTATCAAATTCACTAATAGATCCCATGTTACCACATTAGAAAATTTAGAATCTATTTGTTTGATATAAAGGCAAAGCAAAATGCTGTTTATAGTGACATCATCTATGCGTCTGTCCCTAAATTCAACCATTTTGAACGGATCAAAATTTGTTTGGAATTTTAAAAATTTTCATATAAAAAAGGGGGAAAACTCATCAACTCAACGAATCCACAAGTTCAGCGCATAGGACTGGGATGCAGTTTTTCCTGTATTAGCGTCATAACCAAAGTCAAATTCATCTGTGCCCCCATCTACAAACGAAGCAGCGTTAGCCTCTGTAATTCCAATCCCGTGATCTGCACGATCACATTTACTTCCTCCTCCACCAATCATCATCACTGCTCCATCACCAGAGCTCCAATCACACCAAAAGCCAATCTTGTTGGGACTTTGGATGGTTCCGTTGCACTCAGCTTGTTGAAACCCGTCTGTTGACATATATTGTCCGCCATATATAACCGTACAGTTTCCTAAACACTGGTCACTGGCCCAAACTGTGCCGTTTCTAAAGTTTCCATAACTCTTGAGTTTAGATCGGAATGTTTGTCCGGTCAAACAGTTACCTGTGGTCTGTAACAGGGGAATGTGATTGGTGTCGTCACTGCGCGTGATTTTAAGCTCATTTCCGCTGGTCAACCAAAAGGCGGGTGAGATCATGTCGGCGTTTTCAGTAGTACTACTTGTTGTCCCCATGGCAACTTGCTTGTCGTACCACCAATAGCCGCTATCAGCCATCCAGTTCTTGGTGTCGTCATTTGAAAATCGAGCGATAAGAGTCCATCCAGCGATTTTCCAAATCGAAACGACTGAAAATCATAAGAAAATAAATTCAACTAGACGTAAAATGGTCCAGAGGAAATAAGTAACAAGAATTGAAATATTTGATAAAAAGCCCAAAACGACCCAGTATTTCAGTCCTCCATCGATAGGAAAATGTACATTGAAAGAGTCTTACAGATTGAACGTTAAATTGATTGAAGGTGTGTTACCAGTTTCACAATGTTTCCCTGTGTAGCCATTCACGCAATCACACGTGTAGTTGTTCCTCTCGTATAGTGCGGCGCACTTTCCATTGTTTTGGCAAGGCGAACTGATACAAGGAGACTAGAGAATTTAAGAATAAAAAGATAATTATCCAGATGAACATATTTGGTAGTACATGTTTTTTCTACTCACAACATATCCAACTTTGCGCACAGGAGCAGCAATGAAAGGCATGAATGAAACCTGATCGATCCTTTCTAGGCCTGGTTCGTGGCAAAAGATCGTTAATCCAGACGCAATTCAACTCAAAAAGAAGCAATGTGAAGTTTTAAATCTAACACTCACCCTGATACTATAGTGATGGTAACTCGAGCTGTATACAAACTTGTCTGAGTTGTTGTACATGTCCGATGGAAGTAACTCACACAGCACTTTACCGATTATATCTTGAATTAAAACCAGGTTGAAGGAGAAACACGACGGTGTGTTGACACAAGCAAATCCACACTCGCCACCATTCATAACGTAATTCGAAGCAATACCAGTGATGTTCAGATACGAAAAGGTGTGAGACATAAAATTGGCATAAGCCACTCCAGACACTCCAGTATCCTTATCTCGGCTAAGCGTTCTACCGCGTACATCGACGATTTTTGCTTCAAAAAAAGAGGGAGGTGATCGAAATCTCTACTTTCTAAGGATTCTCATGCATCTAACAGTTGGCAATTGAGATTGCCATTACCAGTGCATAAATTATTTTAACTCCAAAATAATCGTGTCATTTCCAGCCATATTTTATTTTCTGTTGCAGACTTATATTATGATGAAGTAAACACCTAAATTAAAAAAATAGGTGTTCATATCATTTGTTATTATTGTGCAGCATAGAAATTTTGCGGCCTTAAATTTAACGAGTTTGGTAGATCGATAAAAAAATTGGGTAAAAATGAGCTCTCACAGTAAAAACATTCTGTAACTTCTTTACGAAGGAACTGACTTGAGACTTTCCTTACAATGGGAATTAATCTTCGTCAAGTTTGAAATTTTCATTTCTTTTCGCTCGATCGCAAATCTGCATGCGTTTAAAAAGACACACTAAATACTTCATTTGAACATAAGCATTTATGCTACCTGTAAGGAAAACGACCCTTAGTAGTTAGATAGGCTGTGGCTGTACGATTTAAAGACAAAAACGTTTTGACAAATATTGAATTGTTAGTAGCTACCTCACCTTGATTTTCACCAAAGCAGCAATGAGGCCACCATTCCAACAGAGAAAATAGAAAGGCAGCAAAAAGCATGGCGAGGAAGAAGGTTTTCAGTCAATGATACTTGATACTTCAGTCGGACACTAACACTCATGAACAACTGTACATTATTCGTTTTCCACGTTAGTGCCGGTTTGAACAAGTGGCCGTCAAGTTATTTATTATCTACTGACCGCATCAGTCGTCACTTATGTAACACAGCAGGTATTGCAAATATTGATTGTTACAAAATAACTGAATATAGTAGATGCCCTGAGTGGTCAGAGAACTATCGTTTCTTGAACCGGTTATAACCAAAGTTATTTTACAAAAGCACGCGCAATGACCCACGCGCAAAAGAAAAGCCTCCGGTTCGTGATTTCCAAACCTTTCTCGTGTTCTCCTAACTTTTACTAACGTTGTATTAAGCCGGTAAACAAATAGACCCGCGGTCTATTTCTTAACTAAATGTGATAAATCGTCGAATAACATGAGACAGGTGCAACGCAAACTTTACATTGTTTTTTGTTATAACATCTCCTGTGCTAGAAACACCGACCGTGAATAATTAAATCTTTTCTTTATTCCATCTTGTGTTCCGTTTCGTTTTGAATGAATTTAATCTCATCGACGGCCAGAGGCATGCGGCTAGCGCTAACAGAAAATGATACAAAAAAAGGAGCGCGCTTAAGACTTTGCTCATCAAAAGAGAATATTTTAAGTCTTTAAGGATCTTATTGAGTGCTGCTACACTTTTAATTATCGCAAATAAAAAATTTTTTCAGCAGTTAACCCCGGATAGTTGGGAAAACAGGCTTCTTCCTCTTAATCACTCGGGTAGAAATGTGAATGATATCACGACTTGTTCAATCAACTTTCCCCGCAACTATGTGATTCAACCTTTTTTGTCGCTTTTAGGTCTCGCCTTCTCCTTGTGTTATTTCACGTTGTTGGAATCGCTGCAAAGAGAGAATGTCTATTTTCATTTCCAGATAGAAGTAGTCGCTTGAAAGGGGTTGTCACTTTAGGGGGTAAAGTTTAATCAGTAGAGTCTTAATAAAGTCATTCTTTTACTTCCTAGGGGAGAAATGGCTGATTATATAAACTTCTATTTATCACAATGCGTTCAAAATAACTGGTAACAGCAAGGTCTATGGCATTAAAGCGACCCAAATGTGATTGAAAGCTCTCTGGAGCGGTGATCGCACCGTTCGGATTGTATGATTTTTGTTCCGAAACAAATGCATGGGAATAGTGATATCTATCTTGGCTTGGTCAATGTCTATCAAATGTACCTCGTTCAATGAGTAAAGTGGATCGTCCGTGTGTTAGTTGCAAACTTATTTGAAAATGTTCATAATTACTCAAATCACCTGCTGATTATAGTGAAATATGGTTTTAGGATGAATAAAGCTGTACGTAGCTTGAAGTTTATTACTCTGAAAGAAAAAGCATCATTTTCATTCTCGTCTTTATCAACATCACTAGTATTGTTGCTACTATTATCAATAATATATAGATTTAGCCAAGCCTAAAAGCGGAGCTCGCATTTTTTTTCCCGAAAACCTTTAGGGCGCAACGCCTTGCCACGGTTTGGACTAGAACCCGGGTCGTCCGACTCGGAGCTCAGTGCACTGACCACTAGACTACTGGACAAAGCCGTGGCGTTGGTGTGCCCGCGGTACAGTTGACCACGCATGTTAAAAGCAGCATCTTGTACGGTCGGTGGTACGGTCATAAGTCCAAATTTTTTCGGCTTGAGGGGTTTCTACTATTTTGTATAATTATGGGGCTACGCTCTGCGAGCTCCGCTATTATTGACAGGAATAACAGGCATCATTGGGTCTCCATGCCCTTCGACCATCTTTACCAAGTATGCTAAGTGCGACAAGTAATACTCTGTGATTGGTCCAGAAAACTCACATCATCCTCTCAACCAATCAGAAGTAAATCGAAAACGAATCACGATTTGTCATCCGCGTCTTCCCGCGCTTTTTGCACTTTGCCTGATTTTTCATTAAATTCTCGTTGGCTAAGGACGAAGTAAACCTTTTTTTTTATGAGCCTTTGTGATAACCGTGGTATTGGATTTACGACACTGAATTGAAACCTGCTCCATAGAGCGGGATGAAGCAAAACCCATTAAAAACCTGCGTTACTTACGACACTCAGGTAAAAGTATAAAAGAGGCTGTGCCCAGCAACCATATGCATGGCTACTTTTGTGCAGTGACCTTCATTGTTCCCAAGCATCGTACGTATAGTGTAACTAACGTTATTCTTTACATCAAGTGCAGTGGCTTTCCTCCGGGCTAGTCCTTCCTTTGTCGTTATGCGCTACTTTAATTATAACAAAGATGTATTTCCCAGAACAATAAGAAGCAGTGGTAAACTTAGACTTCCGTCTATAAATTTAGAATGTACAAAAAAGGCCTTATTTTATCATGGCTTTGTAATTTTTAATCAGATTTTAAGATTTTTATGATTTTTCTTGTAATTTAATGTCTTTTTGAATTCAAGTCCTTTGAATAACATTTCATAGCTGTTTTTAAATGTACTTGGGTATCACTATTATTTCCAGTCAATTTAGTTTATCATGATATGTAGGGCCTCAATGGATAGCAGTTTTTATCTTGTGCAAAAACTGTAGGAGCTACCCTATTGAAATAAAGGTTTCTTCCTTACTTACTTACTAAACAAAATGAAGCGAAACGGAAAGTGAAGAAACCACATTTATTTGCGGCATGACTGTTTCATTATTATTTTAGACAGTTCTATAATAAGATGAAATTTTTTCTTTTTCAAGCACAAATTCAGGACACATGTCGCAGGTTAACGAAAACTTTCACCAGCGTCATCAACAACTAGATTATGTATAAATTAAAAGCTAATAATGTCTGGCATTTACGCAAATTGGACGTACTGCAATTGATTTCGGCGAAGAACTAAATAATGCTTTTATAATAAGATTCCAATCAAGCGAGATTCGAGCCATACTCATAAAAAGAAACATTACAATTTTAAAGCTCAACTTGATTTATTTCTTTGCCTGTAGGTTTCTTTTCTTTTCTATTTCTTTCTTGAATGTCGGAAAAAATAGTTTATAACGATACTTGACGGTCAAAATTTTTATAATTGCGTGTGTGTGTGTTTACGTAAGGCACAATAGCGGTTGACAGTCATTTATAGCAGTAATTTTGCAGATCATCTCTTGGAAACGAAGTGCAATTATCTTAAAGCTTCCTGTCTGTCTCAAAAGCCCTAACAACTTATTTTACATGAAAAGGCGCAAAATGAGTGTTTCCATAATCACGTATTGTTCCTTGTCAAAATAGAACTATATTCATTACACGTGAAAATGAAATAGAAATTTGTCCTAAAATGCTCGTTGATAACTCAGACTTTTTAAGTAATAACAAAGATGGCATGTAGCTTTCCTTATTAATGCAGGATCGTTCCGGAAAAACTTGATTGTGTTTACCGATGGTAAATTCTATTTCCTGATTTAAATATTTATAACCCCATTGGGGTCATTGGGGTACACATCTATACGACTGCTGGTGTTATTTTCAAACGCAGGTCTGCTTTCGTCATTGACGGCTCGAACCAGTGATTGAGCAAGAGTATTCGGACCACGACTTATTATTCTCGAGCGCTTAGATGCACCAGATTTTAATTGGAAAAGCAAAATCTTTGATATCATTCATTTCGCCGACATAAATCCTAGAATCACTTACTTTGGTGAAACACCAGCTCGGGTAAAGATGGCGTCAACCAACATGAATTGCACCGCAAACCCCTTGAAACAAAATGGCATATTTCCCCCTTTAGAATACAGAACCACAACTCAAGTTTTCATCGAAGTTGCACTTGCTACCACGATTCTTATTTTGGCTGCCTTCGGGAATTTCTTGATGATTTTCGTCATGTGTGGGAAGAGGCAACTTCGAACTATACCCAACTTGTTTGTCATGAATTTATCTATTGGAAACTTTCTTCTTGCTGTTACAGTCCTTCCGGTTTTTGTGTGGACTCTTCAAAGAGGAAAGTGGACTTTTAGCAAGATGTTCTGCGTCATTCAAGGATATCAGAGTTATCTCTTATTTGCCCTTACTTTATTCACTCTAACTGCAATAAGCTTAAGTCGCTATATGCTGGTCTGTCATCTCAACAGATACCGGGAACTATTTGACAAAAGGCTGGTTCTGAAGATTCTCGGTTTCATTTGGATTATCTGTACTTTGAGCTGTACACCGCCACTTTTTGGATGGGGTTATTACAGTTTCAACGCGCGGACGGCTCTGTGTCACACAGACAACAGTAGTTATTCCTATAAAATCACCGCAAATACTTTCATGTTACTGGACATCATCATTGTAATCTTTTGTAATGTAAAAATCGCGAGAGCAGTAACTTGTCATCGCAAAAGGATTACAGTAAATGTGGTTACAAAGAAGCTAAAAGATGGAGAAAGCCAGTTCAACATGGCAGGAGAAGCGGATACAAACGCGAAACAAAGCAATAAATTATTATTCAAAGACTTGAACAGTGATTCACTTAGTGGTCAGAAGTCTAAAAAATTACACGCAAACGTACACCTAGGCCTCTGCGAGGATCGGTCTGGTGTGATACCCGTGAAATTCACTTTCTTATCACAAAAACAGCAGAGTACATTAAATGGAGGGAGACAAGACATAAAAACTGTAAATAATCTTGAAGGGACCCTTCATCTCCATCAAATCAGTTCTACAAATCAATCAAATGCTATCTGCCTAAGCAAGAACTCTAACCCTACAGAGCACGCAAAAGAAAGTACACATCAGCTGCAAACGAGAGAGACGCGCGGGGAAGACATTCATATAACACGAACCGTCTCGCTTATAGTTTTCGTGTTTTGCTTTTGCTGGCTGCCATGTTTTATCATGGATACCTTGGACGCGTTCGGCGTTTTCCCGCCAAGAAGTCTCCGAATGGCGGGAATTTACTTGATATTTATGGACAGTGTCGTTTGTCCGTTAATTTACGGGGTACGAAACAGAAAAATAAGGAAAGTTGTTATGGAGGTGCTAAAATGCGAGTTTTGCCGCTAACCATTGATTGAGCTATATTTGAAATCATCTGCTCATGACACCATCAGTAAAGTGATAGATTATAGGTCAAACGTCTTCTGTAGCTGTTGGGGTCAATGAGGAAGAAGGGTTTCTGGGTTTTCTCGTCATTATTTGGGTTTGTGCACCTAACTTACAATTAAAAGTTTGGTATCCAGTTTCTATTACTCAAGTAAGCGATTTTTCGGTTTTGTTATTCGCCAGTTTCGTCATTATCAATTCAGTTTCTGGCCGGGTTTTCTGGTAAATTTTTATGGAAATTTTAGCTCGTGCTCCGTTATCTGATAGGCTTCAATCCCGATAATTAGACAAAAGTGAATCGAACTTGAGGAGGTTCAGGCCCGTAATAAAACATTAATTTTCTGTACTACGTATTGTTTTTCATTTTTCAGAGCATGTGAAAACTAGAGGATCAATGCCAGGTGATCTAGAAGCTCTCCACACAAAGTTTGGTCAGCTGCGTTTACATGTCTGTTGGTCGTTTTGTTTATTCTTGACAAGGTGGCAAGACCTCTTCAAGAATATTAATTAAATACACTTTTCTGAGTCTATGCTGTGTAAAGTCAACGACGAAATCGTCCCTTACCTTTTTATATCGATCGTTTCATATTGAAATAATTACAGTTTTAATACAAACCCTAGCGACTTATCTTCAGTATTCAATGGACTTAAGTCTTTTTAAACTTTTGACTCCCAGAGTGATTAAAGAGTAACTTCTCCTTAAAATTGCAAGACATCATACTGCAACCAAGCTTTGAGAATATAAAAACTCATCAGCTGGAGAGTGCCACTGATATATCACCATTTATTTCATAATGATTTAGGAAACGTAGCGAATTTCGAAGAGCAGCTAAAAGTAGAAATTGAAAATCAGGTCTTTCCAAGTTAGAGGCTTCATTTGCCTACTTTATTTGATTTTGCTTTACAAAAGAAAATATTTCGATTTGTGTCGTAAATTACCGGATCTTGCGCGCGTGCCGCTAAGATAAGCGCGATTCCTTTTAGGTAACAAAAGCGATACAATTGCAAATCAAATTAAAAAGCTGTTGCTTAAGATAGAACAGGGTTAATTTCAAAAGCCAGTATTTCCAAGTGGTCTTCTTTCCAAAGCAATGTGAGTTAACGAGCTTTGGGTTGCTCCGTTTTTTTTTTCGGGATAAACGCAGTTGCTTTGAATTTCAAGATGGTTCAATCCTTGTAAAATGCATGTGTTTTTAGAGTTTTAATCAACTTTGTCTCTGTGAGACATAACCTATCCCTACTTTAAAATGGAGGTCACCTATGCGCACGTGTTGTCTTCCCTCGGCAGTCCCTCAGATGGTATTTTAAAAACAGTATTTCTAACATTCACCTTTGTTGGACATAGATTTGAATATGCTTAAGAGCCTCAATGACTATACAACGACAAAATTAAAACGCGCGGCGGTAAGGCTTCAGAAACGCTGCGGCGGTTAAGATAACAATGGCCTTAGAAGCTGTCAGAAACTTCAACTTGGCAAATCAAAGTTGATAGGAAAAGAACCATGAAATTTCGATTATACTTATGACTTTTTTCCCTAGAATGATTTCCCTTTCGAATCGAAAATTGCTAAAATTTTGTTGCATCTTATTCAAATTATATCACTTCCATTTTTCGTGTTTTATTTTTCCGCTTTTGTTATAAACTCTTCTTGGTTAAGCTTTTCATTTTTCATATCTATTTTAAATTTGAAAACATGTCTTCGTCTGCGAAATAATTAGCGATATGTGCTTGTCAGATGAATTAAGATATTGTAGGATTTTCCTGATTCAATACACGAACAGCAAAAGCAAAAGAAGATAGCGGTATCGGACATGAGGAAAATAGAGAGACCAGAGGATTACCCGTGAAATTGAAATCCTTTCATGAAAAATAAGATTGTAATCTCCCTTAGCATTATCGTAAGAAAAGATTAGCAGATCTTATTTGCGCACTTTTTATGGCTATGGACACACTGAAGCAATCAATTTTCCTGAGTCTTCGCCTAACGCGCATCCTCTGGGAGCCGTGACTCGGGGGGAATGAGCACGACCTAAGAGGCAGCCCCAGAGCCCCCCAGCCCTGTCATGCAAAGATCAGCACGAGTCCACGGTTTTAACTCCCAAAGTTGCTTGGTAACGAAACGTGGCCGTCAATCACGTTGTGTTCGCGTGACACCCTAGGTGGTCTTATCTCGCCCCATTAAATTTTCACCCGCCGTGTTCTGTCTTCATCATGCCAAGGTAGACTTGTCAAATGTATCCCTCGAATCGTCTTCCATCCTCCATCGAAAAAGGATTTTTACAATTCAACAGTCGCTTTTAACCAGGAGTTTCGAACTTCCAGTGGTCTCTATATAATAAAGCGAGCACTGTTGTTCAAAACGACACAAAAATAGAGCGTTTGCCAATAAATATTCTGAACGATAAATATTCCATTTTATGTCATGATATAACTCGGTGTTGATTGACAAACAAAGTTTATTCTTGTGAGGCAGTTATCCTCGCGCAGTTCACCGTTCTGGCGTAAATTACCTCAACATACAAAAACATGAAATATAAAATGTTTCATAATTGATACAAAGCCGCCTTTTCATCTTCTCTACGTTAATAACACTTGACCAGGCATTTCAAAAACTCAAGTTGTCTAGGGCGTCATGCGTCTTATGAAAGGATTTCAAGTTCTGAAACAAAACAGAAAATATTGGAAACAAAAAACGCGAGGCTTTGATGGAAGCCGCTGAGAGAAGTTTTGTTATCGAACCTAAGCGAGGCGAATTTCATACTCAGTTAAGCCATAGCCTAAAGTCGCACATCATACATTAAAAAAAACAAAAATTTAATCAGATTCGGCATATATTTTTTCGTCTAATACAAGCCAGAGTGTTTGTTTTTCATGGAGCAAATACCACAACCCCATTTAATACTATTTATATTCTGCCCTGGTTGACAGGTAGTTACCGAAATTGTACAACAGTCTGGCTAGCACGATTCAAATAATTATTCATTATACCCAAAACATATTCACTGCAAATAAAGATGACGATTACTTTAGCTTAATACTCAATACTTCAGACGATGAAAATTTTCCGCTAGTGGCACTAAAAATCAGCTCGCACAAAAGAAACTTAATATTCACGCCACACGAAGTTGAATCATAGCACGAAATGTAAATTATAGAATGTATTTCATTTTCTGAGTTTGTTTTTAACAACTATAAATAATGAGTGGTTGACCGAAAAAGAATCTGATTTTTTACGCGATTTAATTATCGCTTTTCATTTTATGCTTTGTCAAACACCTTGTGTTGTTTCCAACAAATCTTGGAGACGTTTTGATGTTGTTTCTTCAAAGTGTTCTTACATAACATGCAAATTTGTAGTGAATGAATCACTGACAGATGGTCCAAAGAAAAAGGTGATCATAACAAAAAAACATGAATATTTAAACACCAAGTCGCTGATTATTTTTCAACCCGCGAAAGTTCCAGTGATTTATGCCTTTGGATTACAATATAGCAGGGACACTAAGTGAGTTAATTTTCACCCTGAGGTGCTTCGCGTGTTTTTCCAAGGTCGATTTTATTATGGCTTAATTTCATGTTCTCTCGATAGCCATGAATGGGAAGGGAAGCGTCGGTGTACCCATCAAATGGAAAATTGCTGTCACCGTTCTAGTCTTATTGTGTGTCGGTTTGCTGATAGCTCTCGTCGTGATTGCGGTAGATTTCACTCAGTACAAAGAAAGATATCCAAACAACCCGGAAACAAATTCGTGCGCCGAAAAAACCCTCGAATTTGGGGAAGTACCGAAGACTCAAAACATCTTTAACGAACTTTCCCGCGAAGAATTAATCGCTGCGAGGAATTTCATGTTGAAACAATCCTCATTGAAACTAAAGAAGATTGAAAATGCATCCGTGAATGAAAGCTATATTTTCATGATCCAGATGTACCCGCCTGCCAAACAAGCAGTCCTGGATTACTTAGAGAAAGGAAGGCCGCGGCCTGCCAGAAGAGCGCTTGTTGTTGTTTTCAAAGGTGATTCCAACCTACCAGTGGTCCGAGAGTACATTGTAACATGGCCGAACAGCACCGTCAAGGAAATGACGTACGAAGAACGCGGCAATCCTCTTGAGTTCAACGTTCGTCCTTATGATCAAGTACAACACAAAGCCTTAGAGAAGATTGTTATAGAAGCCACAACCAAGGCTTTCAAGATTTTAAATGAAAGTTATGACGGATACTGCTATAATAACTGTACAAACAGGCTCTTAAAATTTCACCCACAGGAACCCTTTGGTAAAAATAGGGACGAACGAACAACGTGGCTGCAATTCACTCGCGATCTAGAGGGGGAATCGCTGAACCCAGTCGATTTTCAACTCTACATAAATTTTGCTGGCGCGGACGTGTCGAAATGGAAAGTGGACAAAGTGTATTACAATGGAGACGCATACAACACCGTCGATGACCTTTTATTTCATTATAACAAACCGTCAGGTATTCAAAAATCGTTCATCCCCGCGCCAAAACCACCTTTATTTTCATCATACGAAAATCGTGGAATCCCCCAATCCCAGAGTTCCAGGCGAGCCCCGAGGATGTTTGAGCCTGATGGGAAAAGATTTGCTGTCAGCGGTCACCATATTAAGTACATGAGTTGGACCTTCGACTTTCGAATGGATTCAGTTTCAGGTCCTCAACTCTACGACATTCGATTCAAAGACAAAAGAATAATCTACGAACTCAGCTTACAGGAAGCCATTTCATTTTACACTGGCTACTCCCCATACTTTAGGGTTGCCAATTTTGTGTATGGTGGATGGACAATGGGTAGAAGATCTTTAGAACTAGTGGCCGGCATCGACTGTCCAGAGACATCCAAGTTTTTCGACACGCTGCATTTCGTGGACACCAACGAACCGGAAGTAGTCAGGAATGCGGTGTGCGTTTTTGAAATGGACAGCGGTATTCCTCTAAGGCGCCACTTTGAAGCGAATGGAAAACGATTCAGATTTTATGAAGGAATAACCAGTCATGTGTTAGTAATTCGCACCATTGCCACTTTGCGCGGTTATGACAACGTCTTCGATTTTGTGTTCTATCAGAATGGCGTTGTGGAGGTAAAATCGACACCCACCGGCTACATAAAAACAGAGAACGGCCAAACAAGCCTCGATGACCCATATGGGGAAGATATCGAGAGCAAACTGCTAGGAAACTTACACAATTACATATTCCATTACAAAATTGATCTTGATGTCTATGGTACCTCCAATTATTTTGAGAAAATCTCGATCAGCAAAGACGACAAATTAAATAAATGGCATCAGCCGCAAAGAGAAAATCTAATGGTATTCCGCCGAGAACAGCTAAAACTGGAGCTTGATGCAGCGATTGAGAACATTGACTTCGAAAAGCCGACTTTTTATAATGTTCACAGTAATGAAAAAAACAAGTTTGGCGTAAGAAGAGGATATCTTGTTATACCGATATCAGCCGTGAAACAAATTCTTCCGAAGGAATATCGTTACACCAAGATGGCGCCGTGGTCGAATTATCCACTTGCTGTTACCCTCTCTAAAGATACCGAGCTAAAGAGTAGCTCTGTGTACAATCAGAACAGCCCCACCTCGCCCATCGTTGACTTCGAAAAGTTCATTGACGACAACAATGGCATTACCGATAAAGATCTCGTCGCTTGGGTTTCTATTGGATGTATCCAAATTCCGAGCTCCGAAGATATCCCGAACGCTGCGACGCCTACGAACACGGCCAGGTTCTTTCTTCGGCCGTTCAATTACTTCGACGCCGATCCTTCAATAAATTCTACCGATGCAGTGTTTATCAAACCTTCGACAGACAAAAGTGGTTCAAGTCCTCCTGTGGTTGCGAGCCGTGTGGATCGTAGTAAAGATGTCTGCGTGCCGAGAAAATATGACATTAACTTAACAAGAACTTACGAATGAAGAACGCGTTCAACTCACATTATTAGTTCACAGGAGACATTTGACGCACAATTCCAGTCAACAGGGCAAAAAAGAAGAGATTTTGAAGCTGCTATTCTCCCTCGACCCGGCTGTATTGAGGACTAGATGATAGAAGCAAAAAATTCAATATTTGATCAGTATTCAGGCAGTATGAAGGTTATGAAATCGCGAAATAGATGAGATGTAAAGAAGAGGTAAGGTAAAGCTCGTCAGAAAAGTCAAGGGTTGCGATAAAAAGATGTAGCCATTTAGAGCGACGGAAAATATCTCATATAGCCAATAAGAACTCAAGGTTGAACAGGAAGTTTGTCTGAAGCGCGGGAAAATGCGAGTGGCTACTTCACTATGGGTTTAAGTGTTAAATAACTATATTGACATTAACTTGAAAATTTATCTGAACTTCTTTTTTTAAATTTTTTTAAGCTCTTGGTTCTGTAGATTAGTCCGCAAAAATAAGTTTCGCTGTTTGTATTAGATAGCTATCCTTCTGAAATAGAAATTCAATGCTTTATTTCATGAAGGCGAAGCTTTCTTCCGAAAGCTAAGTTTTTTTTCGCAAGAATAACTTTGCATAATGACTGTAAATATATAGAAATCATTTATGTGCATAACTTTGTATTTTATCCTACTGCATGTGAGCAACATCATCTATGGCTAGGTTCTTTAAATAATATGGTTACAAAAAAAGGAAAAAAAGTTTAGAGTTTTGAAGAGCGGAAGTTTCGTTTTTATAACCAATAGGAAGCGAGAATCTCGTTTAAACAATCAGTGCCAGGTTAAGTTTTCTACAGACAACAGGAAGCGAAAATCTCGTCTAACCAATCATTGCCAAGGTTAACTTTTCTACAACCAATAGGCAGCGAGAATCTCGTCTAACCAATCAATGTCATGGTTAAGTTTTCTTCAATCAATAGGAAGCGAGATCGGATCAACTAAAACATAATTTTACCACGATACCCGCCAAGCATGTATCACAAGGTTTACAAGTATATCCTACATTGCAATAGTTACTAAATTTTAAATCATCTTTCAAATGGGGTGCAAAATACAACACGTCTTTGACAAATAAAAGTTAAAAAGAAAAAACTAAAGATTGTACTAGTTTAATGATCAAGAATAAAATGAAAGATAAACATTTCATAGTGCCAACTTATTGGGTCTGTAATGGAGTATGGAGAATCACTCATTTGGTCTGATCTTTAAAAGTCAGATTCGCAAAACCTTAAACTAAATTATCCAAAATCCTCACCCTCCCCTCCCACACCATTATGAACAGGTTACTTCCAGATCTCTCACGGTTCAGTGACAATTGTTTCACCAATTTGAGTTTTACCGAGAAAAAGCCTCTCTGCAGTGTTCCGTACGCTGACGACTATGAATAAACGGTTGCAGAATGGACTGTGCAATAGAGTGATCAGTCATGGACAGAGGGTCTTTAAAATGCACAGCTCGCACATTTCGGACCTGACCCGCCTTTTTCTCTGAAGCAAGTTACTTGCAAAGAAACCCAACTTTAAAGAATGGGAATTCCCTATAGACGTAAGGGAACTTTTCTCAAGATTATATTTGGTGAGTGATATGAAAGAAATAAAAAGTGACCTTAATCCACTCTTTACTCGGTACCCCGTCTGGGTCGTGTTTTGCGTCTCCCCTACTCCTGCCTTCCTGTTCATGTCTGTTATGCCTGATTAACCTCCCTCCTCTTAGATTACACTTAGTTACCCCCCCCCCCCCCCCCCCGCCCAAAACTCCACCATAAAAAAAAATAGACTAAATCTACGTAGAACACAAATTTTTATTTTGTTTTTTTTTTCTCCTTTGTTTACTTTTACACTTATCTTTTCATTGAATTCCTTTTTTTGACTCACGTCTTGCACTATAAAGCCAAACAACTTCAACCAATTTGGCCAACACAAGTGCTCAAATTAATTCCTTTCGATAAAAACTTTTAACTACCATTTTGTATTTAAATATTTAAAATGCTATCCAAATAAACTATATATCTTGCCCCACAAGCACATCCCTAAAAATCACTAAATATAGACTGTCCTCAATTTCTCTCTAATAGTGCTGAGATGGCAATTCAAGACTATTATCATTTAGCATTTGACCCTGTTGACAGATGCAGCGAGTGATTACTTAAAACACCTGTGAACGATTTAAAGAAAACGGGCATGATCTGATTTCTCCAACTATCATGCATGTATAGTCATGTAAAACAGAAAAAGAGAAAAACAAAACATTCAAAGCCCCTTTCGTATAAAACTGCAGCTTTGCCAAAAAGCAAGTATGTACAGTGTTTGGTTAACCAGCGTAAGTTCCTACGCTGAAATAGAAAATCTCCTCACTCTTTCTCAAACATTTTACATTGCTCAGGTTGTGAGGATTTAGCTCTACATAAAATTAAAAAAAAAAATACTACACACTTCACTCTTAAGTTAATAAACACTTTCCAATTCGAATCAATTTTGTTCCAAACTAAAAATGGGTAGAAAACACTCATGCCCCTAAAGAATTTCCTGTTTTAATGCTCCAAAGCAAAATTAAGAACTGGAGTGACCAAACAGTGTTCTGAACACATACAGAACATGTTTGATAAAAACCAAAGAATCTTTCAGTCAATCTCGAAAACCAGCTGATTTTAATTGGTCATCATTCAAGGAATTATCTACAAAAATGTTGTGAGAATTTAAAGTAGGAAATTGTTCACTGCAACTGGAACTTCTGGGTCAACAATCTAGAGCTTTGAAAAACTAATTCCTTGTTCTAAATATGTAAGTAAACAAAAAAATCCCAGCTAAAATACTGAATATATGCAAGATAAAACGACATGAATTAAAATGGACCTTCAAAACACTGCCATTCACTAACATGTTTAAGCATCTTAAGAAAATTTTTTTTGGATGTGAAACTCTGACAACTGCTTCACAGTAAGACTACTTTTTTTTCCTTCATATAATTTTATTATGAATGTATGTTGGAGAATTTTAAGTTTGATCATTACTGAACACAGAAACACACATAAGAGCCCTGCCTTGTGATGGTGCGGGTAACCAGTAAGTAACATAATGAAGTGATGTCAATTATTTCAAACATAAATATGCAAAATTCTCAGGGAAAATTTTGATGGTACCATTTAGTTGCAGGTGGCTAACATGTATCACAAACATTATTGCCTGAATATCAGACCAAAAGTACAAGTCTGGCACTACTGTCCTGTTTTAAAACATTTTCAGAAGTCTGCTACCTTTTGTTTCCAGTGCACAGGAAATGAAAAGAATAAGCAATTTAATCACCACCACATAAGTTGCAAATAACAAGGTTTCATCAAAATTAGCCCCAAGAATTTTACAAGCCAAGGATGGCCCATGAAATGGTCCAAAGAGGTCCATGTATTTAATAGGACCACTCTGCCGAACTCACTGAAAGCCTTCTCCCCCCCCTCCCCTTCCTGCCTAGCAATGGACAAAGCTTTAGTATAGACACACCAAGAATATCAAGTGGCTGTAAAGATAGAGATGTCCTTAAGAATACTAAGTTCTCTTCTCAGTGACATCTTGTGGATACTTGTCAACATCTTGGACTAATCTGCTGCTGAAGCTTTAGTATAGACACCAAGACTATCAAGTGGCTGTAAAGATAGAGATGTCCTTAAGATACTTAAGTTCTCTTCTCAGCGACATCTTGTGGTTACTTGTCAACATCTTGGACTAATTTGTTGCTAACTGATACCGTAGCTACTGGGATGATGTTCAATTGGATCACACTTGCATATCTTTATCTCGGACATCTGCAGGGCTGCATGATGTTATATCTTCTTGCTAAAGAACCGTCTCGACAACTTTCTGAACTCCTCAAGGCCTTAAGAAAGAGGTCATATAATAAAACACAGGCGTGCTGACCTTCTGCCCTTTGCATTTCAGATAAGCATGTCCATTTATTGCAGAGAGAATATTTGCCAGCTCAATCAGTCATATCATCATCCATACTGTTTGAGCGAGGGCTTGGGTTACATGAAGAGGGCAATGAGTAGTCTTCCATTGCTTCTTGGTTTTCATGGCCGCATGAATTGGATAAACAACCACTGTCCACAGGTTCTTGCTTAATTTTCACTCCCTCGCCTGAAGGTTTTACTGTTAAAATGGAGGATAACAGTGCTGTGGTTGTGTCAGAAGTAAGAGGGGTGGTGGGAATGCCATGTGCCCGAGCATGCATCTCCAACTCCTGAAAATTCACAAAACAGAACTTGTAAATACCCCAGCCTGAACTGAATCAGTTTCGAGTCCATAGCGATCACATTCTCCTACACTTTATACAGCTAAGGAAACATTGTTAAAGACGAGCATGTGACAATGTTAAAATCTGAGTTTCTTGTCAGACGCTTGGCATTACAAGCCCCTTCAAGGAGAAACTTAATTTGGGATACCTGACCACAACAATGTTGATGTTGGCTTATTCCACTCTTCTCTACCCCTTCTACATGTAGAAAATTTGAACCAACACTTTTATCTGTAGCATTACTATACCTGAACTCGGAGCAAAAGTCTTCTGTTGATTTCCTCTGTGTTCTTCTTTTCTTCCTCAAGCAGCCTCATGCGATCTTGCTCTCGCTTTAACTTCCTTATATAATCCACAGAAGCCTTGAGAATGGTTCCCTTGTTTTGCCTCACATCACTACTAACAAAGAGGCAAAAAAAAAGAAAATATTTAATGAAGAATTAAGACACTGAGAAAGATATTAAGAATTTGTTGCAAAAGTGAGACTGAAACATGTTCTCCTAACCAGCCAATGTATCGATAAAAACTAAACAAAAGCAAACTTGGAACCATCTATCAGAGTGAGAGCAACTTCTAAACCAATTTTGGACTGCTCTCAAAGGACGACAATAACTACACAAAGAATCCAAGGATTGAACTCTACTTACGAATCTTGCTTTGGAAGAAGAGTTCCCAGTTCTTTTATTCTGTCATTGATATTGAATCTTCTTCTTCTTTCAACTGTAGAAAACACATAAAGTGATAACATTATTAGACACGGACCTACTTTTCAACAAAATAAAAATAGTGCTTGTGATGTCAAGGTAAATAACTAACAAGAAGATATGTTAAGTATTGAAAGTACATCACAGTGAAAGTTAAGATGAGAGTCTTGAAGATAGCAGAATAAATAGAAAAAATACTCACTCATATTGTGGTTGTCTTTCTTCTGCCTGTCTTTAGCAAAATTTGGGTCAAGAACTGAATCTGGAGGAAAAAATTTCAAAAATACAACTTAAGATTTGTCCTTCAATTTAAATATTTTACCTTTATTCTTATCACTTGTCTCCTTGATATTTTATTGATTTGGTATGGATAAATTCTGTCTTGGTCACTCGTGGGAGTTTAAGGCTAAAATACTAAGATACCACTGAGAAAACTGAACATCTGTTGCTATGTCTGTACATAAACCAGATCTTAAGTCCTAATTCCATTAGTCACCTATTCAAATCTCACCTTGTGGCTCTTGCTTTATCATTGCAGGGCAAGATGATGCAGCAGGGGCCTGGATCTACAAAGAAAAGAAAGAATTACATTTATTTTCTGAGCTTACTCCTACAAATGGATTCACAACTACATGTGAACACACAACTATAAAATGGACTTTACTGAACCCTTCATATAATCCCTTTGTTTTACGTATGAGCAACCAAATTTCCAAAATAATAATCTAAAATAGTTGAAATAACTCATTTTTGTCATTGTAATAATATCTCACCATGGTGTTCATTGTCAGACCATTGTACAAATCAAACACATTGCCTGTTGCAACCTGAGGAACCTGAGGAGAACAGAGAGGCAAACATTAGATATCAAAATTTCATCTGGGTGGAAAAAATTGACAGCAAAATCTAACTTTAAATAGACAAATGTACTATGAGTTCAAGAAGTTATTTGTTACTTACTGAGCCTAACTGGAGACTTGGGTCCCATGGCAGACCATCTTCAACAGGATTTGATTCCAGACTGCAATAAAAAGGTCAAAATATTAATTTCTTCAATTCCTTGTTAAAAACTTACTCAATAATGATCATGAAAATTTTAAGATACACATATTTCCTACAGAATTAATAGATTTAATGTAGGTCAAGTCAATGTTTTCTCTGGTAATAAGACTAAAAACAGCATTTGTACACACCTTATAATGTCTTCCAGCAAATTATCAACCTTTAGGGGGAAAAAGGTAAATAACATAATTAGCATGGCAAAAACTAGACATTACTGCAAACCTTAAAATTACTATTATCATTATATCATCTGTGAGGGTATTTAAAAACCCTTTATTTAATTTTGAAAACAGGAGGACTTCAGAGTGATGGGTCAATTCTCAGTTATGCAATCCTTTTCTTACAGGAAGAGAAAAAAGATAAAACAAAAACCAGATTGTCTTTATCAAAAACTTATCTAAATATCTCTATAATCACTCACTTCGCTAGGATGGTTTCCATCCCCACTCATAACAGCCATTGGACTCTCCGGTTGTCCCATGAGTCGACTTGCAGATAAGGCAGCCACAGCTTGTTGATTAATTGCATTGAGGGTGGGCTGGCTTGCACTGCTAACAATCGTCAACTCTCCAGTGGAAGACGGTGATCCCTGATTCTTAAGATATTCTTTCACTTGTCTCTTCTGTTTTTGTGCAATGAAATAGCGAGTCGGATTTTCCAACTGTGTTTTGACCTGCAATGAAGACACCAAGGTTGTTTAACACGTTTCATTCATACTTTCCGAGAATCTTTTCAATGTTATCATTGCTCTTGACACAATTGTAACAGAATACCAAAAATAAGCATTGCAATGCAAAGGTATTCTTGAAACAACCTAGAGCTCTTTGAATATAGTTACTTGTTACCTCCCTCCCTTTAAATCAATTGAACAAGAATTTCATGAACACAACAGTTCTTAACAACCTATTCTAAAAAAAAGGCTGTTTGAATTGTCCCTATGAAATCCACCTCCCTAAAAGGAAAAGCGCAGACACAAGGGGTCACCAAAGGTCAAGCTCCTGTAAATATCAGGTTTATAAGATACACGTGTAAATCCAGCTCTAATCTTTGGACTCTTCACTGTATTTGAATGAATAAATTTATAATCCAGGCTACACATTCATATAAAAACTACACATACTAATTTTTAAACTCATGTGACCGCAAATAAATATTCAAAACGGACTTTACACTTTAATCCCTCTAACATAATTATCTCTGTGTGCCCAGGCAAATCATAGCTTCTCCTATTTTGTTTTCCACCTTGATTACCCTCTCATGTTTCTACACGACTCAACAATTCAGGAAAACAAGTACAGGTGTTTACATCTCAAACAAAGCTTTGCAATTTAGGGGTGTTTTTAGAGGTCAATGAATTTATATATATGTAGACAACAACACAATGATCAAAGAATAAACCTTCTATAACAATTGTGCATGTGAAAATCTTGGGCACCTGAAACAATATGAACTATGTACTTGCATGACTACACAAGTATGAGAGTTATAAAAAAATTAATAAGAAAATGGAAAGAGGCTTCCTGTATAAGCAGTATGCAATCCACAAAATACATCCTGTGCCATGAAAATAGCTTCCTTTGGGGTTAAACCACCAGCCATATTTTAAATCAATTAGAGTTTAACAGGAAAAACACTGTGCAAAGTCCACTATTAGAAGGAAGTGTTCATGTTAATGATGCAAGATTATTATGACTTAGGGAACTTATTTTCCTGTTTATTTCGGTAAGGGAAACTTAATCCAGTTGCATAAAACTGAGCTCATTGCAAACAAGAATTAAACACATGCATTAATCAAATAAGTTCTCTTCATTTTTATCAAAGAGTTTTGTTTTATGTTGATGCAACTGAATATAAGTTCAAGTTACTTTTATTTTTCCTGAGGCACTGCATGTTGTCTTTGTTTTCTGATAGGAGGCTCAAAAAATTGAAGTTTGCTTCCTACCTGTAGCACACTGGTTGGAACATCTGGCGGCAATGTTGTTGGAGATGCTGTCCTGGGAACTGCTATGCTTTGTGAGTGTGCTTTCAAATCAGGAGGCCCCTGCTTCTGAAACAGCTGATCTTGTTGCTCCAGCTGCTGACGCTGCAGCTGTTGTTTGAAATTTGTCCGTGTTATAGGGGTTGACATGTTCTTGATTGGATCCTTGCGATCTAACAGCAACCCAAGGGCTGATGAGACGTCACTGTGGTTGTGAGAATTGGAATAATTATTTGTTAAAATCCACTTCAGTGGTTCCTCTGTCTGTGGATAACTTCCCATAAAATGGCTTGTGACAAAATCTGTAGTCATGCCTAGCATATTACTCCTTGAGTATAAATATGTTAAATAAATATGAAGATGAAATAATGTTGAATGGATAAATTACTTCTTCTGTCAAGTGTCTAGTTAAACTGAACCACAACTGCACAGAGCATTACTTTTAATGCTTTTGAAACAATGATCTAAAAATAGATGGAAACCATAGAGTCACATAACCATTGTATAAACATTTCCTATGTAGGGTAAAGGTGTCATATTATAAAAAAATATTTGACCCCACATGTAAAATAATGCTAATTTTCTGTTGGTAACGCAAGTCAGTAATGCCATATAAGGCCTCCACACCCTTCCTCTTTGTTGATATATGAGACAACACCACCCCACCTCTTGTCACAAAGGATTTTTCACAGGAACTACAGGAATGTGACATTTAGCAGAGTGTAATTTGATTTCTCTGAAGGGAGTGCTATGGATGAAGAGGAATCCCCTCAAGTCAATTTATTTGATCTCCTTTAATGGGCATGTCCAAAAAAGCTAACAGGAAAACAAGTTAAAAGGCATAACGAGTTTCTAGGTTGACAACATTTCTAGTGACCAGCAAGATGATAAACAACTGGCTCCTTCTGTAGTGATAGTTAACAAAAGGTGAGTTTCATAGAGAGTTTTACTTCCCTTCATTTGATGAATGATGTGAAAATGATAGTCTATCAGAGTGCAAAATTTTGTAGAGATGTGCATGTAGCTTTATGTGAGACAGACTGGCCTTGGTTTATAGACAAACTTAAGAAATGAAGATCACAAGATTGAGCATTCTGAATTTCTTATGCATAAAGACATAACACATTTGTTCAAAGCAAGTTTTCTTTTTTTTTGGTGAATCTGCTTTCTTAACCCTTCTTACTCTCACAGTGACAAGCATCCAATTTCTCCTTACAGTTATACTGTTCAGACAATCCTTTACCACCAAGAGATAAAAGGAAATGATCACCAGCCTTGGAAGCTTTCATTGTTAAACAAATCCTCCTTGTCAGTACCAAAGGAAATGTTTAAGGAAAAGTGTGAAAAATTAAGATGCTATTGTTAGGTGTTGAAGGTTAGCAAAAAAGGGAAAACAGAAGTGAAACTATTATTAACCTTTATGGCACAAAAATTGATTGCAAATGGTAATTAAAAGCAATCAAACTCATTTCAGCTGGAAGCCATACAGTGTAGAACTTAAGTATGTCAGACTGCTGCGCTATAACTTTGTTGAAGGACAAGTGCTAGAGATCTTAATATATTATAGAACAAACGAAAATGCCATTGATGCTACACATAAATATATATCTTGGAATATTTCAACCAACTGATTTTCATATAAATAAAAAATGATGACTTTCTGTCTTTGTTGTACCGTGCCATGATTTTAATTTGACTCTAGGGAAATCTGGCCTCAAAAAGCACTGGCCATTTCAGCAGAGTTACAACATAGTTCACACAACATACATGCACACTGCATGAAGGCTAATGACAATCCTTACTTCTTTTTTAGGAGATCAATACAAAAAAGTTGCTGTATGGAAAGTATTCAACACCAAAAACAGATTTTTACATGAGTTAGCTGCACAGAACATAAAATTTCTGACAATTAAGTTCGTGGTCAACATTTTTTTTTTAATGACCTGTATTTGGGTTAATTATGTAGAGCAAAAGGGCACCTAAGGGCATAACGATGTCACATGCTTCACTTGCAGTGAAGCTCTCAATAACATGAAGAGATAGTTTCACTACCTCATAAAGATGGCAACAACACTCAACCATAAATAGTACTCATACTGATGGCCTATACAGGCAAGCTTTAGGAATTTTCGCATTTTTCGACAACTAGAAACATCTATATGGTAGGCAACCACCTAATAGAGGTCTACACATTCGTAAATAACAACATTATTCAATAAAAACCCTAATCTGAACTATTGTGCAACTACTTAGTAACAATTGCTTGCTTGGGGAGAAAAGACCTTTGAAAAATTCTAAGCTAAGCCATTTCCTGAAGTGCTAACAACAAAAACAAATTGCTTCAGATACCTATCGTCTCGTCTTCGCATATCCATAGCTCGGAGGTACATTGGGATAATTCTAGCAGATCTATTAGTAGAATTCACAGAGAGAACTGACCGCAATTTTTGGATCCTTCTACCTCTGAAAGTGACAGGCTCTCTGATAACCCCTGCATCAGTCTGGTAGGAATTCTGTTTTTTTAACTCAGGGCGGTTGCTCATTGATTTAACCATTGAGAAAAATCTTTTAAGATTGGCCTACTAAGTTGTAGTGATAAGTACACTAGTCAGAAAACACTTAGGGTTTCTCAGAACACACCAAAGGTTTAATTTCTCAGAATGTCACATAAAAATCATGTGCTTCCTCTCACACACTGATCAGGTGTTATTATAGCACATGTCAAAGAGGATTTCTTGTTGAATTATAAACCAGCACTGGACTTTAATAAGTAAATCATTCATTGGAATGGGCCACAAAGACAGTGTAGTAGTCTTTGCTAAGGACTTTGGATTCAACAGTCCAGGTTCAGGACATAGCAAGGGCAATAAGTTGTGTTCTAGGACAAGACAGTTCACTTTGAAAGGATTTCACCAGGAGGTATCCATGGGTAATAGCAAATTGTCAAGGAAACCTAAGAAAATACTGGAAGATAACCCAAAAGGACCTGGTATTCCATGTAGGATGGAGTAGGAATACCTTAATTAAGACAAGCAATGGCAGCCATGCCAGTCAGTCTCAATTAGAGGTATCCCCTTCTATAAGATAAAACCTGATTAACTGACAGTCAATAATTTTAATACTAATAACTTATCCCTGTGTTATGGCAGGCATGATGAGAAAGGGGGAGGGAGGGGGAGGGAGGGGGAGGGGCTCTACTTATACCATTATCGTGGGTGGATTGAGCAGGGTATGAAACAGTTCACAGGCTCCCCCCTTCCCTACTCACAACTATTTGACAGTGATCTTGCATCAATGTTTCATGGAAATTTATGCTATGTGAATTACTCTCCCTATTTTTAGTTCACTATCTGTGAATTTTTTGAAGATCTCAACAGATTTTACCGATCACGAAAGAATTTACAAAAAAAAACTTTAACACACAAAAAAAATCTGTCATTCACAGGTAACATTTCTTCCTGCAAAGGCTTCAGTAATGACAACCGAAATTTCAACTTAACATTTCAGTCTGTTTCAATAATTCTATGGCTGTCATTATTTGTCTGAGATGAGAAGAGAGAATCAAGAGATGATCAATTGAGAAAATCAATTCATTCATAGTAATTTTATTTGTTCCAGTAAAGGTCTGCTGAAACTAATACACTAGTGCTTGTGAAATCAACAATTTGCACAAAAATTTCCCGAATCTAAAATCTCTTATACAGAAGCCAAAAGGAAGCGAAATTGTCCAAAAGAAATTTAGGATTCCCAATGCAAAAATTTAGTAGGAATTTGACATGCAAGAAAATTCAGTTTGCTGCCAGAACAATTGGTCTTTTGTATCTTGCACAATAACGTGAAAGTCACATGAAAATAATCTGTCAAAAGTAGAGAATGAAAACAAAACAATCTTTCATCCCACTGTTTAAAAACTGAAAACGCTTTGAGGAAAGCTTCAAAACAATCACACGTGCTTAAAAGAACAGCTATAGTCATTTACCCAAGATGTACTTGTTTTATTTTGCCTAAGAAGCAAGCATGGCGAGTTAAATGTAATACGATCAGGGCAAGCAAAAGTAAAACAAACTGCTTACAAGCACAATGGTGCTACGCAATGAAATAATCGAAACTGAAAACGAAAGAGCGAAAAAGCACAAGAAAATTCACTACCGCAACTAACAGCAAGTTGTCGAATCAAACCATTTTCCTTTGTACAAGACAAAGAATATTCAGTTCAAACTTTGAACAATAAAAGCACTGTAAAACTTTCTGTTTCAACAGGGAGGAAAATTGCATTTATCCAAAGGAATAACGCTCCGTTGAGCGACGAGAAACGTAAGAGTTGCAACGTATACAATTTTCCGATCCATTACACCTTTAAACTCGGAAAAAATGAACACAAATTGATCGTGATCAGAAGAGGGGGTAATACGTGTTTTCTTGAGAAGTATTCATGTTTTTCACGTGTTATGTCCAAAAATAAATTCATGTCAGGACGAGTTGGTTTTAAAACCAATGGGATGAAAGACGCAAGTTCACGACATGATAAAACACAAGACCCCCGACCACATTTCAGAGAGCATACTCAGACGAGCTGCGTTACTGATAAATTCTCTGAAAGTTCGAACGATCTTGCACAAAATTGTCACGTATCTGACGCAGTGAGTTCCTTTGCGTGTTAAATAACAGTAGATTACAGCTGATTTCATCTCATGTACTGGCTGGTTTCGATCGATTGCGCGACTGGCCTTTACGCTTTGGGCTAAAAAAATATTTCAATTTTGGAGCAGGAAGCGAGGAAATCACGACCTTAAAATTTTGCATAGTAAATTGGTATTGTAGAATATCCTAAGAAATTTGTTCTTAGTACACTTTAAGCTCGACTTACCTTGGAAGATCCGGAATTTTAGACTTTATCGTGTAAAAATCGAACACTTCTTCTTCGTGCGAACCGAAGTCGTCAGGACTTAGAAGATCAAAGCTGAGATCCACTCCTGATTCACTCATTTGAAAGCCTTGATAATCGAGATTGAAATGAAGCTAGGATTGAAGGCCTAGAGGACGAGCTAACGAGGAAACCTTGCTAAAGCGAGCTCAAACTTCTTTCGTTAAAACACTTTCATCTCGCACATAACCTTCCATCTTGCTTACTATAAGCTCGGTTCTAATTGGTCAATTTAGACCACGTGATACTAAAAATAGATCCTTACGTCAATGAATCGTGATTGGCTATTTCGCGGTGGGCTTGGCAGTTATTTCAGTAACAACTGTCATTTTCCGATCCTTTTATGGGGGAAATAATATGGGTGTGGAGCGTGTCAATTGTCCACTTAAGAGATGGTGACGAAAATTAACAGTTGTGAAAATCAATTAACCCCAAGGGTTCCCCCTTGCGTGATCGCTGCGGCGCTACATGAATATTTACGCCTCCAACCAAGAGTGAACCAAAAGTGTCATGTGCTCTCTCACGGGACGTGCAAGTGAGAAAAACGACATGGTCAAAACGTGAAGGCAACCTTCAGCCCACGTGTTTTGTCTAAAAATTCAAAACTGGCCGAAGTACAAGTCATAAAACATTTTTTAAGTGAAAAAAAAATCAAAATAAAACAGGCAAAACCGGCTTAAAGATATCAAAAAAAATTTTAGTTTTTCAAATGTTCTTAATAAAATAAGAAATATTTATATCCGTTGTTGTTGTAGTTTTTGATTACTTTGTCAGAGTTTTCAAACTTTTGATAAGTGAAGGAGGATCACCAGGGAAACTCTAAGATTTGTGAGCCCATGTGAAAGTAAAATTGTAAGTAAAATTGCAAGTGTGTGTTGATACGATAAAAACAGCTCCTTCAAAAAATTATCGTATTAAAATCAAACATGCTCGACAGCCATTAGCGGAAAATTTTTAATTGATTAGCAGATTAGCTTTTCTGTTTAAATTAAAATTGACACAGATGCTTACTAATCGCATATCAAAATACTTGGCGCGTGACTTTAGACAACCATTCAGAATTCACCTTTTCGGCCTAAGGTTTCACGTCTGGTGAAACACGACTTTTGATGTAAAAAAACTGCGCAAGTTTGGACATCGAGTCAACATCCCACTACTGTGTCCGAATATCAATTTCGGCATGTGGTCGTAAATAATTTTCTTCAGTCGTAAAGCGTTTCTACACACAAAATGACTTCTTTGTTATTTCGCTACCGCTAAAATAGATGCGAAGACTGTAAGAGGGGGCGTTGCGACATGGAATAATCAAACGCTTCCTGTTAATTTGAGCATGGGAACGCCTCACGACAGTGGAAAATTATTTACGACAAAATGCCGAAGCCGAAGTTCGCATACGGGCAGTGGGTGGTGGACTCGATGTCCGAACACATCAAAAGTCATGTGACACTACACGTGAAATCTAGAGGTGACATAAGAGGAAGTTGTTTTAATAATAAAACGGAACGTGTTCAGGCATGAAGGTATTAGGGGTTTTACCCTCTGAATCGGTATTCACCCCTTTCATGTAGCAAATGCAAGGAGAAAGGTTATGTAATCGTTCTTAAAGCCACTCTTTAAACTCATACCGTGAAATATACGTTTGCTTTATTAGTTACGCTCTATGTGACGTTCTGTAATTAGGCCCCTTAAGCAACAGACGTAGTCGGCCTCAAGACGGCAACTGGAAACGTGAAATTTCTTTGCAGTCCTCACTGCGCATGAACAACACGTTGTAACATAACTTGCCGTTGTCCCGAAGTCGAGCACGCGAGAACGTGGGGTTTCACGTCGCGATAAGAGCTTGAGCAATTAATCTTTTGTTTTGATCACTTTTAGTTTACTTTCGGTGTAATTTAATTTGGAAGCTTGGTAAAATTACATAATGATTGATTTTATGTTTGAAATAATGTTCTGCAAGCATTATTAGTTTCATTTTTTAAATTGTTTTCGCATGCCAAACTAACTTCCAACGAAGAGGTTGCTTTCATTCAGTGGAATAATTAGTTGTCTATTCCGATTTTCTCAATGTATGACTGGTAGATTGTTATAGCTTGAAATAACACTTGAATCATTTTTTTAATTCCTTCCTCCTGGCCTTTCATTTAACATGGAAGCTTTTTTAATCGACTCAAATTAATTTTGTATTTAGTGTGTCAATCACCATGTTCACAAGTAGACAAATACATGCTTCTTGTACACACGAGAAGATTGCGTTCTTCGCAAAACGTTTTTTTTTTCCGACACTTGAATCAAAATAGTTGACAAAAATAAAGAGTGTACAATTGATGGCAATTGATCGCTCTAACATTACACATATAACATGTAAAATAATTTCTGTCTTTGATATGCCAAGGCAGAACGACTCTTGTAAGCTTAACAGTTTGTAATTTTTCGCTATAACAATTTCAAAAGGGATGTGTCTATCATTAGAGAAGCTTTAATAGTATAGGGCTTGAATTCGTCGATTTATTTTTCAAATATAGTGTATGTTTAATCTATAGATGGAGTGGAGAGAACAAAAAGATGTCATGTTGATCAGAGAAATGAACCCTTTAGTTCTAGTTTCTTATCGGTCGTCACGTCGCCGTCGTCAACGAAAACGTCTGTTTCTTAAGGTGCCTATTAACGCGTGAATGTCTCAAGGCTTTCATCGCCTTTCAAATTGCAAATTCTTTCCCGGAAACTCAGAGATAAAAGGCTCACAGAAAAAAATCCCAGCCTAACTTTTCTTGTAATTGTTCTTTTCTCTGTCTGTTCCTTTACTGTTTCAAGCGATTATTTTTACATCTCATTCTCAACGCTGGCTAGTTGCCGAAGCCTAGATTTGGCTAAATTCCGCAAGTTTAGCCGAAAAGTTAATAAACGACCGGAGAAGCCTTTATTAACGCAAACCGAAGCACACCATGGACTCATGACGAGAAAACAAATTTGACTAAACTGCTGTTGTCTACGCCACAAAATAACGATGTAAAACAACAGTGATACAGTGAAAAATACGACAAAATAAGTCACCTTATTGTCAAGGAAAATTGTGCGACCAAATATTGGCTTAGAACTACTGTACGTCAGCCATTTTAATATTTCATTCAAATCAGTTAGTCAAACATTCTGACACCGAAAGGATTAAATCAGAGGGTGTGACCGATTTCACAATAACCACGACAGGGGGCGAGGTTTTCACGGATGAAGCTGCACGTATGTAGCTCGCTAAAGAAAAAAACGTGACGTTGTGAAATATGAATAAAGTGCAATACATTAAATAAATGGGCGTAAATTTTTTACGGTAAACGTGATTTTAGAAAAATTTCCAGTCACACAGGACGAACTAGGAAAACATGATGGAGAACTCAGGTGACAAATTTCAAATGCTCGCTGTTTTTTGATCGTACCGTACTATGAACTATCAAAGGGAAATCGAGGAGATCTCCGAAAAGTAAACAAAGACAGTACGTGCTCCGTTCGGTTGACCACCAACCGTGGGATCTGTCAAGATTTCGTGACAAAATCCCTCACAAAGTTTCCAACTCAACACGGCACACCTTACATCTCTAAGCTCGCATTACCTGCAACTAGAAAATTCGGTTCAAAAGGTGCAGGAAAAATAGCACACCTCGGCAACGCCCCCCCCAAGACCCAAAAAAGGGAGCGGTTGTTCGATCGTCCCGCAAACGGCCTGTTTGCGAGTCTTACACCGATTCGCTGTCGTCTTGGGTCAACTTTGCCACCGTCTAAGTTAGCGACAATCTTAGGTCATTTCCCTAGTTCAAGGTCACTGATTTTTCTAGTGTCTTGGGTCACTACTTTTCGCTAACATTTGAAATCAGTTCGATTTTAGCTTACGTTGAACTGAGGGGTCACTTCTCGTTCTTATATTAATAGGCATAGAAATATAGTGAAAGAGATTTTACACTTACTATTTGGGCTCCACTTCTCCTGCAAGGAAAACAAGTCGCTTCACGGGCTTGTTTTTAGGGGTAGTTATTGTAAAACTCAGAAAACCGCGAGCATAAGAATATTTCTGACGTACCGTTTTGTCAAGTTAACACAATCAGGCCAATCGCATGTTTGAAAGCAAAGCTACACCCAATTTTAGTAAAATAGTTTTTGGTTTTGCGGTTTGCTCCAGAGTTAGGATCTCCAGTGTGATTGGACATAACACAATTACACAAACCAAAAATACTTCAGGTTTTTCCACTGGCTGACCTTTAGATTACCAAGAAAATAACAAAAACACAGACTCTGTTACAAAATCCATATTTATATGAGGATGGAAATCTAATAATATATTCATAAAAATGTGAAAAACTATTCATAGTCACAACAGATATGCGCATTTATTCATTTATTACTATACTGGTTTGCTTAAAATCTTTCAGTGGTAATATATTTTCTGAGCTGCATGTGTGAAAATTAATTATTGGTATTCCAGAGAGACAGCAGACATGACAGGATAAGAGGGGAAGGGCAAATGTAGTTTGTCCCTCTCCTCCCCCTTCCAACCATTGACATTCCACTCACCCATCCCTGTTCTAGAGAATAATAATCTCTACAATAAGTTAACTGGAATGTCCACAGTTTTGCATGTTTATGCAACTTAAAGATTGTTCTAGAAGTTAATTATCTACCTCACCTATCACATGAAATCATTTCTAGCTGACTAATCATTTGAAAGATGTCAAAATTTGGCCAAAATGAAATGACATCAAGGTTGCATGCGTAAAGCTCCATCCAGCCTGATAACTTCACCATTTAGCATTGGGTTCTCTATAATACTCTGTACCAGATGTCCAAACTCTGCAGGATCACCCAGACGACTTGGGAAGGGAACAGTTTTACCCAGCTCATCCCTGACTTTCTCAGGCAAACTCATCAGCAGAGGAGTCAGGAAAAGTCCTAAAACATTACAAGCCATACTTTTGGTCAAATGTTCCTTGAAAGGAAAATATCTGGTCAAAAATTATAGTCAAATAATATCCCCTTGATTTCCACTAATTTTCACCTACACAAGATATTGATAAGAATTAACCCTTTAACTCCCAGGAGTAATTAACATGTAACTTTTCCCCATAATATCCATACCTTATCCAGCAAAGAGTTCATAAGAATTCTCAAACTTATCAGGTACAGGTTGTTGTCTTGATCTAACACCAAATTCTTATAACTAAGTTACAGGGAAATGTGTAGCAGCTAGAGGGGAGAATTAACAATCAGATCTTGGGAGTTAAAGGGTGAAAATAATTTTTTGATAAAACCAGAACCAAGGAAAAGCAACTAAAGCAAATCAGAGTAAAGAAAAATACCCCTCAGAGTCAATGAGAACTGAAAGGAGATTGATGCAAACTTCCTGGAGTATTGGAAAACAAGAGTGTGCTGTAAACATAGAACAATGTACCCAAGAACCCAGTGCAAATGACCTAGCTTTGGTTAAACAATATTTTTTAACAAATCAACCATTTTCACAAGTCACACAAAGCAATTTTGCTAAATAAAAAAAGCAGTATGACACTGGTGAGGATAATGCATCACACTATTTCAAAGACACTCACCTACTTTGAATAGTTAATAATATCTGATCTCAAGTGATGACCCACCTGGAGCAATGGTGTTAACTCTGATTCCATGTTTGGAAAGATCTCTAGCTATTGGCAGAGTCATTCCAACAATTGCACCTTTAGACGCTGAGTAGGCAGCTTGTCCAATTTGGCCATCATAAGCAGCCACACTCGCAGTGTTGATAATCACCCCTCTCTCTCCACCCTCATTTGGTTCATTTTGTGTCATCTGTTCTGCCACAAGTCGTATGACATTAAAAGTCCCAACCGTATTAACCTGATTGAAAAAAGACCTTGAATTAGTTAACCCTTTAAGTCCCACAAGTGACTTAGACAGAATTTCTCCTTACATTATCAGTGTGATATCAAGCAGACAAGTAATGAGAATAAAGAAAAATATCAATTGGGGGACTATTGGTTGACCCAATTCTAAATTCTCCAAACTAACATCACATAAATTGTATGGCAGACAGTAAGGAGAATTAGTTATTAAATCTTGGGAGTTAAAGGGTTAAACATCCGTGACATTTGAGTGGGGACAACTGTGGCAGCCACATAAATATTGTTACTGATAACTGCCATTTTTCTTCAAGTTTTCACAAGTTTATACAACTACTTTTCTAAAAGTTTGACAAAAGTAAAATTAATTTTTTTTCAGCAAGCATTTTGTCATTTTAAGAACTTAACCCTTTCACTCCCAGAAGTGTTTCACATCTAACTTCTCCCTATAATATACAATACATTATCCAGTGAACAGGTAATGAGAGAATAGTTAAAATTAACAGTTAGAAGTTGTTATCTTGATCTAAGACCAAATTCGCTAAACTCATTAATATGGAAATGTGTAACAGCCAGAGGGGGGAATTCATACTCAGATCTTGGGAGTTAAAGGTTGAATACAGATAAATTAGAGCTCCAAGCAATAAACATGTTTTATGGATTTACCTTCAAGACCTTCTCAAATTGATCAAGAGGGTGTGGTCCCTTTTTGGAAACAGTTCTCACAGCAATTCCTATTCCTGCACAATTGACGGCTACATTGAGGGGACCAAATTTTTCATTAGCTAACTTGATAGCTTGCTGGACATCAGCTTCTGATGTAACCTTGAAATACCACAAAAATAATCAAATAAACAAACAGATTCTAAGTTATTGTCCATCTTTTAAGTAACAGATCACCAATGAGACTTGGTGTACAAGGCACACCCCCCAACCCACCTCCCAAAAGTGATAAGGCTTCCATTCTTCACAGTTTGAACAAGGGATGCTTCGCAAAATATTTAGAAAGCACCCAAACTTGAGATCTTTCGATGTGACAACATTTTCTGGAAATCTTTTACAAAGAATGCGTGTGAGCGTATTGGTTACAAAAAAATTACGAAACATTCTAGTATGAACTCACATCCGTTGGTGCGAAATAGCAACTTTCACCCAATTCCTTTGCTACTTTTTCCCCATCACTTGAGGAGAGATCAGCTACGACTACTTTTGCTCCATATTTTGCGAGTCTCTGGGCTGTCGCCCGCCCTAATCCCGAAGCACCGCCGGTTACGATGCACACAGCCTTCTGTAAATTCGCGGCCATGTTGGTTCTTATACGTGTATTGAGCCGGTCAATGCTGACGGGCTAGTCAGCGGTTATTGTGGATAGCGGGTGTAACTGTTAGATAGTTGAAGACCTCGACGGGTTCGTCTACGTGGGATTTTACGCACATTCGTGCTATGCCTTGGAAATAGTGAAAATAGCTGGCCAAATTGGCTGCCCTAATCTGACCTGGTCTTTTCTAGTTTAGTCTAGCTTAATGAATAAAGGTACAAAATTTTTAAAGAAACTGTGGCGCTGCGTCGGTGGGAGAGTATAACAGGTAACTTAGTGTTAACAACTGTACGAGCGTAAGCCCTTCGTCAGAGCGACTAGTCTGGCCTAGTGTAGACTAGCTTGATCTGATTTAGTCTCGTCTAACGTTTAGTCTGGTGCAGAATTGTCTAATCTAAGCTGGTTCTAACTGTGTCTAGTCTGGTCTGGGCTGGTTTACTCTAGACTAGTCTCACCGGAATTTTTTTTAGTGTCATGTTGTCTTACCTAGTCTCACCTCGTCGTGTTTTGTTTGGTCTAGTGTTGTCTATTCAGTGTAGTCGAGTCGAGTCTACCTTATCTACCCCCGTCTAGTGTTACACGTTTCTAATAATTTTGTTTGATCTGGTCTTGTCTAGTCTGATCTATTCTAGACATTGATCAAACACAGAAGACTCATTTCTGGGAGATAAGAGGTACAGAGGTAGGCGCCTTGATACCTGAGAAGTCCATGCGATGGATGATCTCGCATGGGAGGCTAATATACAAAAGATTATTACCACGGTACAAATACGTTATGCCTTCTTCATTTGCACACAAATGATATGATTGTTTCAATTTTATTGTTCCTCTTAAGACACAAAAGTTTAAATGGATAGAAATATCATTATAATGTCCATTATAATAAATGATAAAAAGTCTTCATAAACTATATGTCTTCACACTTCTTCGACACAATTGTATTAAAATATCGCTTTCTTCTGCTAGCTTCATCACATAATTTGATAGACAGGCACTTTGATGTTGCCTGGAAAATAGAGCAAATTATTCTTTAAAACATTACTACTTGCGTTTGAAAAGAAGCAAAGGAAAACAAATGCAGTGACCAAGTGCAGTGTCGCATTCAATTAGTGTCTCTCTGATTGGCCGGTTCCGGCGTGAAGGACAATTTTGGACTAACAACAGACAATCAGGTGTCTGTTGCACTAGACGTTAACATTAAGGAAATTTTAAGTTTTTTTTTAGGTATTACAAAATGAGCTTAATTTCACCGTAATTCTATTAGAAAAGAAAACGGTAAATGGGAAACGGGATATCTTTATGATATCTGGCAAAGAAATGTCGGAGATGCTCTTTGATGAATTTAAAAAATACCATGCGATACGATGTAGGATAATGATGGAAAATGATATCGGCATTCTTTCATTGTTACTCGAACAGATAATAGCACATGTAGAAGAGAAAACGAATTTCTCTCTCTTGTTGACATAAAAGCAGTCTCCCGACTTTCTTTCTAATGACAACTTCCAAACGAAACATAAAAGCTCCCGAAGAGAGTCATCTATTTTCTCAGTCCTACATTTAATTCGTTTCTTCCGTCTGCAAAATACCGTCATCACCCTGTTCTTGCGCTTTCCAAGAATCCTCGACTGTTTCATATGAAAACCTCTTAAAGTTCGATCCGCCTTGGTGCGCCTTCTGTGGGAGGCAACCAAAGAGAGCGTGCAGTTCCTCTGTTTCTTTATCTCGAGATCTAGCACGTTCCCTCCGCAGTGTCTGATCTCGCACCATTCTCTTCAAGTTCATCTCCAGCTGTAGAAAAAAAGAAGGAAGTTAGATTGCAATGTGCAAGTTCTTTCTCGCGTCTATCGTGTTATTTAAATGATATTCACCGCTTCTCCCCCTTTCTTACGAAGCAAAGGAAAAGCGCGCAAAAAGTAAAGAAAGCCTCGTACCATTGGCTTGTTGCTGTTCATCATTTTGCGTTGACAACATGGACTTCGCCTGTTACAAGTTAGAAAACAGTATTTGTAATAAAACGTAAGATGACGTTTCGCTAATTTTCAGAAAGAACATAAGCCTTGGCACAAGGCAAGGCCCCTCATATCAAATCATTCACAATGGACCCTTTAAGGAAAAAACAAGCTTCTCCTTTTTATCCGTATAGCGCGCGGAGTACACGACACAGAAATATTTCCCCTATGTTTTCACATCTCCACCAATTTTTTCTCAAACACTTAATAATATTCTTTTCTTGTCGGAAATTTTTAGTTCTTATGCGGGACCTGACATACTTTTCCCATTTTCAAAGTATATCACGATATCGGTCCCAGATCTCTCTCGTGCTTGCACCTTGCAGTATTGAATGACTTTCCCGAGGAAGATTTGGGCACGAGTTTGATTAAATGAAAAAACGAAAAATGTTAAAAAACCAGAGTTATTACCATGGACGATCAAAACAAAGGAAAGTATCACAAGGAACCTATGAGAGGTCAAAGCAGATGCATGGGAATGGGATGGAAAATGGACCAATTACAGAATGCAGTGAGTCAAAACAAATGAGCGCAGTCCTGGATTGCTCTCTGCACTCAATGGATGATGATTTTACGAGAAAAACTCACCTCCTCAACTTGCTTTCTTAACTCCTTGTTCTCTTCCTCTATCATGGCGTGATTCTGTATAGCTTCCAAAGACCGCGTAAATGGTGTACCACGAGAAAAAGCACTGGACTGTTTGCCACCTCGCCTCAATGGATTCCCATCCGGGTCCTTGTATATTTGGATAACCTGAAGATGAGAAAAAAGAACACGATTGTGAAGTAATGTGTAGGAACTGCATCGCACTCTCCGCAATTTCAATCTCCCCAACTGCGATCCAACTGAATTTAGTTTGGTTTAAGTTGAGCGAGTTCCTGAATAAGAAATTTTCACTGGCGCCCCAGGGGGAAATGTTGTTACAACTTCAGTTTTTTTTTTTTTTACCAAACTTCAATAAAAAGCGCGCTGACCATTGCCAATGCTTTGTGTTTGCATTTTACGACACTTAATGGCAATACACTCAATTTAAATTGTACCCTAGAGCATCAAAATGTTTAAGAGAGTTTTTATTACATTACCTTAGGTACAAACAGAATTCCGAGTGTCAGCGTGGTGCAGAACAAAATGACGGCACAAATAAGTGAAAAGCTGACAGTGGGATGACTGTTCGTGAAGAAAGACACAGGAACACCAACCGCGCAAAGCAGGACCACATTATACACGCTGATACCGATGAAACGAGAATCATTCAGTGCTGGAATCGAAACTTTGCGTGTTTCAAATGCAAGGAACAAACCGAAGATGAGCTGAAGGCTGTGAAAAGTATAGAACACAATAATCCACACTGTGAAATGGGGCCCCTCGCATTCCTCACGGCAGAGAACAGTCTTGTGATCGCGATCGTAAGAAATCTGTAAATTTAAATCACAAGGTATGGATATTGCATTAGCTGACGAGAGTTAATTCAGATAAGCTTTAAATTATACTTCTGATCATTCACTTTTTGCGTCAAAATTAATTTCCAATTTGATCTGTTTAAGAACATCCTTATTAAGAGAGTTGGGTGTTATTTGTACAGTCAACGAGAAAAGAAACTGGGAGAGAAATAGAATTATCTGAGAGAAAAGGAAAGCTTGATAAGAGTAAATGAGAAAGAAAAGAGTTAAGGAAGGAAAAAGCTTTAAATGAACATGAAGATCAAAGAACAGTCACCATGACAAAAGAACTGACTTCATTGTATGTATGATTGACGAAGCTACCCATCGTTCTTTTCAGTCGCACTTCTGCTTGCGGTTGTTGCTGTTGTTACTTGTTTAACGTAAGTTAACAACAAACACCCTTACATCAATATACATATTCTCCATACTGTTCTACATACATTACTTAAGGTGCTGACAAGGAGAATTTGTTTTAACAATCAATAGCTTCTTAAGCTGGTGATCATTTCCTTTATTCTCGTGGCCCTAATGTGTGATTCAGGGATGATGTTATAAGGAGAAATTAGATGTCAATCACTCTCATGGGTCAAAGGGTTTAAATAATGTAAAAATGACCTCTGTGTTTGCTCACCTTTCTTAGAATTCAAAAATTAACTTTGGAAATAAACAGAAAAAATCGCCCTTTTTACTACTGATACAAATGTTGTAATATCAACGCAAATTTTCCATTTGCTTAACTTCTTTCTAATCGTACCCAGACCTCAACCCTTACCAGATTTATAAGATCGTGGAAAGTCTGGAACCAACACTACTAAAAGTAACGGCTTTTGTTACTTTCAGTAGTGTTGGTTCCAGACTTCCCACCGACTAAATGGGCTACTACTGAGAGGTCATTTCAGTTGGGAATTCTACTTTCGTCGTTTACCTGAGCTCCTTCATTCACGATTACTTTCCTATTTGGTGGATGCAAAGACATCCAGGTGGCAAGTAACAGAACATCTACAAACACTAGCGCTCCTAACAAGCGGAACAGGTCGGAATCACGGACTACCTGTGGGGGACAGAAAAAAATGCTATTAGATCGGTTAATTAGCAGGCACTTCCTACACTATGTACGCACTGCGGATCTATGAAATATGTATCTCACACCCTGTTATCACAGTAATCCTATGGGATTGATTAAAGTGTCTGTTGTAGGGGTTTCATTGGATTAATATCTGGGAGCTCAGAAAAAAATTTTTTTTTTTTTTTTGTTGTTGTTGTTGTCGTTGTTGTTTTGATTGTCGTTGTTGGTGTTGTTTTTTCACCTTTCTGATTTTCTTGATGTTCGTGAAAATCTGGTGGACACGCCAAGTTTTGGAGAACATGGCACCAAATCCTACGGTAAATCCAAGAGAGAGCAAACAGAATCGTGCCTACGAAAAAGAAGATTAGAACAGATCATAAAATTGACACCAAATTCGCTAAATGAATGAATTAACTACCGAATACATGAATTATCAAATGTTTGATCGAATGGATAGGCTGTTTGACAACTCGACTGAGTGATTGATTGACTAACTGACTGACTAATCAGTAGACCAACCGACTGAATGAACCATGACTGATAAACTCATCCACTCATTTACTGATTAACTCACTTATTACCTGACCCACTTACTAACTAACTCACTTATTACCTGACCCACTTACTAACTAACTCACTTATTACCTGACCCACTTACTAACTAACTCACTTATTACCTGACCCACTTACTAACTAACTCACTTATTACCTGACCCACTTACTGACTCCCTCACTCACTCGCTAACTGAAACCCTGGCTTACTAACTAACCAACAAACTAAAACCGAAGAAATGAACTAATTTTAAATTGAAAAAACGAAAAGAGCGAATCAACCTTTAAATGAAGGGGAAAATGAACAATAAACTGACTAACGAAGAAAGGAAGTAAGTTTCTAAAGAAAATTTAGTGCTGCGTCGGTGGGAGAGTATAACAGGGTAATTTAGTGTTATCAACTGGGTTGTTAAAACTAAATTGACTGAAGAACAGACGAGCTGGCTGTCTCTCTGACTAGGATTTTTTTTTTTTACGAAAAATAAATTTAGAGTAATTATTCACGGTATTCAGCGAGTTTGACAATACTCACTCTACAAACGTAGGTATAAGAAAGGGGCGAAAGTCTTCCATCAAACCCGTACAAAAACACTGTTATGTACATTAGAATGCCACCAAGCAATATGACATTATTGAGGTTTGGACTCGACAGTTTTATATACCTGCATGGAATAAACAGAATAGAAATGATCAAAGCAAATCCTAGCCTGTCCCAGATAGTAAAACTAAGCGCCATGGTAAAAGGCATGACATTGGCGGAGGAGTAAAGAAACGAGGGGGTCTGGATCGAGTTGCGTAATGGACTACGCTACCCGACATGCAAAGCCTCCTTCTTTTTCGCTCTGAAGCTTCTAACGTGCCGTTTGTTGTTTCGCTCCGTTTTATTACCGGAACGCCTGGAACTGGCTAGGTGAATTAGTACAGCCTAAAAAATTGTTTAGAATTGAAGGTAGTTCTTAATATATTACAAACGGAATGAAGGTAAGTAATATGACTTCTGAGACGAAAGAAAAAAAAAACATTGAAAAAGCACGAATCGTTTTAGCTGTCTTCACACTTTTTCTCCTAGGAATGAAGAAAATAATTAAATTTCTACCCACAATATCAAAATCAAGCAGAAAAATGATAAGAAGAAAGATGAATATCGCCAAAGGAATATTGTTTGATAACACACAAATTGCTTAGAACTTACAAGAAGAGTTAGAAGAAATACATGCAAGAAATGGGTCAAAATGTTTTTTCGGTCAAGAACTCGATTTTAAACTTTCTTATTTCTGTTCAGCCCACAGGACCAGCCCGGTTGCACGAAAAGCTCAACTGATGAAGAGGCCCTAATTCAGGTTATTTCCCAGAAATCATCCAGCACTTAAACAACATTGTAGGGAGTCACATCCGTGTGACACTACCTCCTTGTAAGAGAAGCAAGTTTTAAAATCAGTTTAGTATACTTAGACACTAACCTTTTTTTGCGGTAGCGCAAATTAAAGCCCAGAAAAAACAGCGCCAATACAATTCCCAGAGAGCTCAGTACACTTTTTAATACGATTAACCACACGGGAATTTGCACAAATTCTGTGACGGTGATAGTTTTGTCAAGAGGAATTTTACCGTCTGTGAATGCAAAAATAAATATGTAAGATAATCTTTGCTTATTTCATGTAATCACCGTCATATATGGCTCTTAATGACTATTCAGGGAGAGAAGATAACAGTTATTTTTATTAACTCTTACCTAGAAGGCTAGAACTTCGGGATCACTAAGAATTGGAATTTCATTTTGAAGACTTAAAAAACGTGATGAAACCCAAGCTTCAACATAAAAAAAAACACTCCTGATCAAAACGTCCCACCCAGTTCCAAGCTTCTCTCTTGTCTCCTTATTCGGAAAAGGGTAGACGATCGAACTTTTCCCGAGTCTCATTTGACATTTTGACCGAGTAGAGAATGTATTAGAATAGATTTGGAGGGGCGAGGAAATAGACTTTTATCTCTTTTATCATTGGTAAAAAAAATCAGAAAAAGCTGGTTGAAGTTGACCGAGGCTATATGCTCTGATAAAATTTAAATTCTTTCTAACATTGTTACCTGGCCACAGATTTCCCTTTCCCACCAGTTGTAGTTTTTTGGCGAATGCGTCATAACAACCGACACGTACAGCATGACCATCTGCAAATAAATAGTGCACGCTGAGGACGTGTTTGTACGCATTGAAGCGATGCAGAGATAAATTCTCTGTAACGTGGTTAGGCCACTGTTTTGAAAATAGTCTTGAACTATCAAGCGCGCGGAAAGTTTGGAGAGACCTCAAGAAGCATGAGTAGAGCATTTTTCGTGCTTTCTAAACTTTCCGTGCGCTCCATATCTCGACAAAAGCACGCTGATGCATGAAGCAGTAAACACTTTGGCGGCGGCAGTACTAAACGAAAATTACCTGGATGTTGCTGAAGTATTTCCACCAAACCATCATATCGGTCACCATCAGAGAAAAAAGCAACTTCTCCCTGAGGAGGGACGGATATAGAGAAGAATACAAGTGAAAAAGGGAGAGCAAATCTGTTGCCTTTTTAATTACGACGCGAAGCAGGTTGGTTTAGGACACATCCAAACCCCCCCTCCCCCCTTCGGAATGAGACATAAATAATTCATAACAGTACAACACCCTGGCGAGCCGCTAAATTCTCATGAGATGTCGGCCAAAATAACCCTCTCCCCTTTGTTACAAGACCCCTGCCCACCGACCCGAAAGAAGACATGAAACGAGGACAAGCTTTCAAGGAGATGCGGTGCTTATGTCAAGAGGAAGGGTTAATTTACAGAAAAAATTAGAGCTGTTGCTTTGAGCTGAAGAGCTTGCTTTAAAGGAAAAGAATGGAGATGGATAAGTTGTGCTCTTCTTTGAATAACTTCGGAGGATTTAAATAATCAGAAGACCTTTCATCGGGTGGGAAAACAAGTTATGACAAGAAAAGGAAGTTATTGTAAGATGTCTAACATTAACAAATACATTAAGTGACGAATACAGACTGGAGCAGACCTACCGTTACCCCAAGGAAGTGAATATCTTGAAGTGTTCGTACAAATAACTTTGTCATTTCAGTTTTATTTTTGTAAAAGTCTTGTAACCCCAGACCCATTTTTTCCAGTTTAGGAATGGATTTATTCAGTGCGACAGCCACCGTCCACAGTGCATCATATGTGTAGGCAGTGATGTTAGGCGCGGAAGACACGTTCAGCTTCTGTAAAACATCTCTGTATTGTTTGTAGAATTGGGCGGTTGTCTAAGCAGTGAAAATAAATAGATGATAAACTGCTAGAAACATGCAGAAGAGTATTTAACAATTAGATCAGTTCTAAGATCAATATTTCTATCGCGTTATAGTTGACAAGGAAGCCTGAGAGCGAAAAATCTAATTGTTTTCGAATAAATGATCGTCATTTTATTTTATGTACAACCACGCAGTGTTATAGGCAACTCACGTTACTCACTATCTACCCCCTAGTATGTTTTAGCCACGGGATCCAGGCCAGTACCTGTGGGATTATAGTTGGTAATAGCATCTTAGCATCTCAGAAGAACTCCACTCCTTCCTCTTAGAACTTTGCAACTGTGGCTTCGGTTTTTTGTGGGGTAGAGGCAAGACTCGGATTTTTGAAAAAAAGTTGTGTGGTTACTTAAAAGATATTTGGGTTAATATTAGTCAGATACTCACCAATCCCGAGAGAGTTTTACTCTGTGCTTCTTTTTTGTCTTCACTCACGAATATCTGGTTATTAAAAATAAAAGTGTAGGCCACAGCTTTCCTCATCTCATCTTTAGTGCAGAGCAGGGAGGGGTCTGGGACTGACCACCAGCGGTGAGAATAAGTACCAATCAGAATCCAGACATAGCGTGCTCCATACAGGTCTGACTTGTAAGCCTGAAATAAATTCTTTTTTTAACTTGCTGAGACAGAACCTCAAAAAAATGAATAAAAATAAAAGAAAAATAGTTCCCATAAAGCCATTTTCAGTCGAGTGTCGAAAGTAATCTAGGATTGTATCGGTTTTGCTTTACTTCACTCTATGATTGGTCCAGAAAACTCGCGCTACTTTCTTAACCAATCAAATGTAAAACTTAAACCAATCATGACTTGGTCACCCGCGTTCTCCCGCGCTATAGGCAGTCTGGTTGTTTTTACTATGAGTTCTTATTGGCTTTGAAAGTTTTTTTCTTTGTTCAGATTTACCATTGTGATTACTTTGGTTTTGGTTTTATGACACTCGATGGAAAAGTGCACTAGTTGTGAAAAGTTTCTTAATCAATCAGACGCTAAACTCAGTCACTCACTTTTCCCAGCTCCTGTGGCCGATTACATGTTCTTACTTGGAGGTCTCAAACTGATGTGTTCCTTACCATAACGGGAGTCACGTCGGTTGTTTTGTTTACCGTTTTATATTTTCTCACTAAACACGAGGAATTTTTTCAGTATACCCTACCTGACAGAAGACGCGCCGCGCCTTGGCCTCATAAAATGTTCCGACAATGATTCTGGCGTCGTTTTTCTAAAACACAATATGAAATGATAGATAACGGTGAAACAATCTCACACTTATGAGCGGTACCAGACGCAAACCGTGATTTTACTTTAATCTATGAGCGGGAAGGAAACCAAGACTCAAATTAATTTGATGGAGCTATTTTCTAGCGAGGGTCCAAAGTAATCTGGGATTGCATTGGCTTTGCTTTACTTCACTCTGCGATTGGTCTAAAAAAAACTTTCGCCGATTTGTCGACCAATCAGATGCAAAACAATAACCAGTCACGACTTGGTCGCCCGCGTTTTCCCGCGCTTTAGGCAGTCTGGTTATTTCTACTTTGAGTTTTCATTGACTCTTAAGAGGCTCCTTTCTTCTGATTGGCTGCGGCGATCTCTTTAGTTTTGATTTTGTGACATTTTATCGAAAAAGGCTCCAATCAACCAACAGACTTACCACAAGATTTACTATGTCAAGCTCAATGTGCTGTCCTGTGATTTCTTCAGACTGAAGAATTGTTCGATTTATCTCCTTCAATTCCCTGATGACCTGACTATTGGATTGTGATGCCTTAAAGAAGAAAGAAATTTTAAGGCATTTCAGCTAATAGGTAGATGTCCCACCATTCAAGTTATTCAGCTGGTTCCTCGGTGTAACGGAAGAACTACTGCTGTCGTATCATAAACACACCTGTTACAAAAATTTAACCTGCGCTCCAGAATTCACGGAAGTAATCAAATAAACTGAAGACGATGGGCGACTTTCCAAAACCTTTTAATTATTTATCTTCTTACCAGATCAGCGCTTGTCTTTTCAAACATGGTAGCAATCCTCTCCCAGCCGAAGTGTTTTATCCAAGCCACTCGAGCCAGGTTCCGCGCGGACTCGGACGGAAGAGCGCGAAACAAAGTGGGAAACTCCTCACGATTTGATAAGGCCAGCGATCTGGAGGCATAAGATATCTGCAATGGGAGTATTTAAAAGAGATTAGATATGACCTGTGTCATACCTTTTCCAGCCATCGAACAGTTTTGAACCGCGTGTGCGAGTAGTTTTATTACGGAGATCTCTCTTGTCATTTTAGAGTACACATATTGAGGTTTGTTCACAATTCTAAGAAAACATTGTTTTGCATCGTTTCCATCGCATTTGCAAATACAAGAAAATCATCGTTTGCATTATTGAACAAAAACCAGCGTTCCATGGGGTACTTTCTATAATTTGTAGTAGTAATTCGATTCAAGATTGTGAGGTCTTGATATTTTTAAATAAGGTGCTTTTGATCTTACGCTTCTTAGACCATTCTCTGCTTAAAAAATATTCACAAAGACCAATAAGGCCCCCGAAATTGGATGAAAACGACTGAAATTCGACGGAGTCTTCCGAAATTCAACCGGAGTGCCTAAAATTAAAATAAGATGTTCCTTGATGAAATTGTAGGTTTAATAATAGACCTGTGCCAAATGCCTGTATGCTGACATCTTTGCTAATATTTCAGTGACATCCGAGCACGCTCCTCCAAATGTCATCAAGCAGTTTGGCTGCTCTGACAGCAAATCCATGAACATGTTGGCGGTGTAAGCAGGGTCACACTGACGAGAAATTTCAACATGATCAGCAATAAAACCATAGGACAATAATGCAAGGAAATACTGAGCTGAAACGAGGCTTACTGCAGAAGACTCGCATGTTACAATGTCAGGATGCAAGAAGTCTTGTTTCAATTTCCCAGAATTTATTGCCTACTAACAGCTCCCTCCTCCCCCTCCCCCCTCCCCTTCATTCACCCTTTGGCGAACGGGAAAAGACCAGGAACATGGATGATACAAAAACTGATGCACACGAGGTATATTTAGTCTTAGATCAAGGAAAATGCACAAGAAGTTCAAGAATTGGGCTTATTTTTTCGTGCCCTAAGAATCCTTTATAATTTTATATGTAAAAACGTATTGAAACTTGGGTTCAAATAAGATCTGTTGCCCGCATAAGAAAAAATTGACTTTTCAACACAACATTTTGGTGCAATGAAGATGTCAGGAGTTTCGATTACCAGCCGCTGTTCGGGAATATGAGCTCGCGCTTCTCCCCCCTAACCCACGAGTATGAGAGAAGACTGGACGCGAGGAAGCGGCGGAAATCGAGCCTTAGATGTCACACGCAGATAGAAGACTGTCTATAAGATTATACTGAACTGAACGCGATACCTTTGAGTCTTTGACAATCATGCGCAGCTCATAACCGCGTAATATATCAGACTTGTTCACGTGATCTAGTGCCACTTCTGCTGCGGCCAGAAGTGCCCGTCCTGGTACTGAAGCTTTGTTAGGACTTAGAGGAAAGAAGCCTCCAAAGTAGACAGGTGTCCGCTGAAAGTTGGGCCGAGTTAGGCACGGCAGCAATAATAAGATCAAGGACGACAAAAGCTTCATCTGATCCGCTCCCTCGGGAAAGAAATCACCCTGGCTCCAATTTCACTTCACTATCCTTTATGAATCGCAGCTTGTAGAGTGGTAGTTCGTTTTCTGTTCGTTTAAAACACCGAGGGCATATGTATAGTTAAAAATTGATTCGTTACTCATGAAATTAGACTATACATTCTCTAAATATCATGGAAAATCCTGAAAGGATCCCGACAACATCTTGAAAATTTCCCGGTGAGATTTCGGTTGGATCCCTTCGGGTTTCCGACAACATGCCGTCGGCATTCCGGCTGGTTCCCGGAAAGATTGCGGCTGGGTTCTAGGGGAGTTCCTCGCGCGTTCACGACTGGATTGCATATATGTTCTGTTTTGTTTTTCATCTCTTCTTCGGCCTTTAAAACCTGTTTTTTTCGCATATTGAAGCGACGGCCGCTCAGCTCAAACATTAGAAAATTCTCAGCAAGATTTTCTGCGATAATTATCATCCCAGGCAGAGTTCAGCTGGCGAGGCGATTTGGCCTATGGAGCGATCTTTTCAAGAATTAACTTTTCGAGAACACCTCAAAGGTATGCTTCCTTTTTGGCCTCTCCTTGGCAAATTTTTACGCCATGCTTATGTGGAATTTCTTTTAGAACCACGTGTGTTTTTAGAGATCTGTACGTTTCTCACATTGTCAAATTACCAATCATTTTCCAATACACTAGTTTTCTTTGTGTAGCATTAATAAAACTCAGTAACGGTTGCATTAAATATAATCCAACTGAACTAACAGAAGAGTAGATCTTTTGTGTTGTTTCTTTTTAAGGAAAGGAGGAAACTGGAAAAGAAACAGATCACACAGCTGTTGGTTTTTCCACGCTGATTAATTGTTGGTTTGATTTTTTTGCTATTTCCATGCGGTGAGTTTGGTCCGATGAAAAATGTAAACACGGAGTCTCGATTTTGCATGAGGCAGACACATAAACCAAAACTTGGAGAATTTCGTATCTTATTGTGTAAAAATCTTTTAACTGATGGCCATTAGGCATTTCGCGTTATCTAAACGAAACCAAATCAATAAAAATGTTTTTTTCTGCATGATCATTAGGGAAACTGTGATTTTCTTTGAAGATTTTATCGATAAAGAAAGCCATCAGAAAGCATCAGCCAGAAGGCTGGTTTTCTCTCGAACATTCTATTTGACATTCAGCTTTTCTCACGAGTGAAATTTTCAAAGTTTGGTAATACCAACTTCGAGCAAATGACCAAAACGATAACATTACAGTCATTAAATAGTGATTTGTTTTGAGTTGACCATGTTTAAATCATTTGATTGAAATGACTGCAACAATCTATTCTATGAATTATCTGAGAGATAGTTTGTCCCGCAGCTAGTCTAAGAGATCAAATTTTTTCGCTTTAAAATTAGTTTTCAATCTCTGATTGACAATGTAAGTTTTAAAGCACTACTAATGAATTTCAACGCATTGGATAACAAGCTCGAAAAGAAATTTCTTTCGCCGAAAAAGTCTGAATTTTAGTCACTCACCTGACAGGAGTTACTTGGCAAATTTATGGTGGTGAAAGGTGAGTTTGTTTTTCAGTTTGTTATTTATAGAGAAAATCTTAACCAATAACAGTGAAACAGAACGGCTTAAAACAAAGAAGTTTGTTTTCTTTTAATTACCCCGCTCTTGTGTGAAGGCAGCCTATGAAAATCACAGAAAAACAGCATTTGGGAAAAACAACGCTGTTTTGATAACATCTGGTTCGACCAATGAGAATTCAAGATCATGTTGCAAGCTCCCTTTCTGATGTTTTTTAGCTGCTGAAAATCCCAGTTGTAAAATGAAATACTGACGTGTGACGAAAAGATTTACGCCAAGTTTACAGATCTGTAATCTTTGTCGAAAGACGCTCTTAAAGGTGTATTGGCCAATTAGTAATGAAAATTCAAAAAAATGTATTTTGTTTTTGCTTTGCAGTCTCCAAGTCAGAGTAATTTCATGGCGGAGGAACTATGCAGGGTTCGACTGAGTTTTATATTCATTTTAACAAGTCAACTCATCATCACTTTCCTGGCTACTGCGATAGAGGTAATGGTTCAAATAACGTACAGGCCTCATTTTTTTCACGCTTTATTTTTAGTACTGTTTTAAGTGGTGTTCATTACTACGAAAATTGTTTTCATATTCATTTCTAAACCCGCGGTTCACTTATAATTTTCATATTTTCTCAGTCAATGACACCGTCTTTGTGTTTCGTCTAGAAAAAGTAATGTTTTTCTAGTCCTGCGAGATGACCTGACAGTTTCAATCAATTATTAATTGAAACTTACGTAACTTGCAAAACAACACGCAACATAATAACTCAGCCGGTAAATAACATAACACGCAATGCGTTGTCGCACTCTCAAAGTTTCATACCCGTATTTCACAATAGGATTGCTCGATCATATGTAAAAATCATCATAGCTTGGAAGCTCACTCAGAGAGTTGGAAGCAAATTTCAAGCTATTATCCAAAGAAGAAAATGCAGAAAGAACAATTAAAACACGCCGCAATATCAGGCTAACTAGTTTTCTTACATATTATTGTTTACAAATGAGCCTTCATTTCAAAAGGGATATTATTTAGCCATGCACATTAAACTCCAAAGTCTTATTATTACCATCTGTCTTCAAAGTAATGTCAAAAGAGGCCGCAATTTTACCGAGAAATTTTCAAGCGGGGAAAATGATGATTTAGTCGGTAAGTTTTTCCTACCTTCCTAACATGAATGTTGTTCTTCGCTGTAAGTTCCAATCAATTTTATCTGTCCCTTCTAATCTTTAATTAGATGTACCAGGGATCCGGTTTAACTAATCGATTTCATTTACAACTATACAAAACGACCATAGAAAGCAAACTGATCACTGTTTTGTATGCTCCAAATCTAAACTGTATTTCCAATTTGAATTCAATTGATGTGTTAAATAACCCGTCATTACAAAGGCGAGACACAGGACATTCTAGACAAAAATTGCGACAAAAAAAAACCTTTAACGCACAATTAGTTTTTCGTTTCCTTTAGCTACAGCAATACTCAATCAGGGAAATTGCGTGACGGCCACCTGCCTTCAAATACATTTCAGAGTACAAAGTAATTGGGTTGGAATTATCAAGAAAGCCTTCTTATGGTAAAAATGTAAAGAAACTTCTGAAATTTGCTTGGCCTGCACTCTTTTAACTTGAATATTCCTAAGTCCGAGTTGATCAAAAGCTTCTAGATAAACAGTAAAAGTATTTATTTATTTATTTATTTACATCATTCAACTGAACTTAAACCCGTCTAGATTTTTATTTTTTATTTTTGATTTTGCAGACCTTTCTACATGGCGTTTTTTCTTGTAGTGTTTTTCTTATCAACGATAGTAACGATTTAAAAAATCTGTATTTAACTTTCAAACGCTGAACTTTGCTGGAAAGCATTTCCGTGAGAAAAGAGTTTTTCCAAAATAAGATTAAGTGTTATTTCTGTCATTTGCTATTTATTCGTTTTCATACCCCTGTTATGATCACGTGCAGTGTCTAAGGCAGTCCTAAGGCAGTCCTCAGGCAGTCTTACGCTTCGGTGAGGATTGGTGTGAGAATTCTTGCCAGGATCTTGTTTATGTTTCCTACAATCTCCTACCCTTTTTCGCGATAATGGCCAACATGCGAGAGACTTCTGACAATACATTTGCATACTTTGTCAAACATACACAAAACCATCACTTTTACTGGGTCGTAATTTGTACCCTAAACATGTAAATTTTGATCACATAATAACCTTTTTGCCACAGCCGACAAATACATCAATATTTTAACTAAAAATTAATGGATTTCGGTGGGCCAATCGACTAAAAACAGGAAACAAATCAGCCGAAGATCCTACCTTCTACTACGAGATTATTGTCAAATGGGTTATACTCTATCACTACCCTGCTTATTTGTAAGCAAACAAGATTACGATAAAAATGACGTGCTTTCAATTTGATCAATTTAAAAGGAAACGCATACAAGACATTTCTTATCATAATCGACAGAGTGCTCGCCTGCATGAGAGATCACCTTATGGTTTCAAGAAAAACAAAATAAACCACCTTTTTCAGGTCAGAGAAATCAACTAACCCATGCGATATTTTAAGAGCATGATCAGAGAGGAGTTGTTTATAAACTGGTAGTAAAGAATTTGATTTAGATTTTCCGTATTTAAAAGTTTTTTTCAAGGATATCGCAATTGATGCTTCATTATATCAGGTATCAGGCCAATGAAACGCAAGAAAAACTTAAAAATGTATCAGATAAAAAAGATTTGTGAGATTGCACTAAATAGAGATCAATCAATTTCTTTAATGAATGCTAGTGATAAAACACAAGGTGGTTTCCATAAAATTCGAAGAAGAATGGTAAATACACGTTCCTCTATAAACTTTCACATCGGTGACTCTTGATCATTGACTGTGCCCCTAGTAAATTTGGATGCGCACAGTTGTTATCTTAAACTGTCCATGGGGTGAATTTCAACGTTAACGTTAAAGACCATCAAAAATTAGCTTCTGAATTTGAATATTAGTGACATCCTAAAAAAGTCTTATTTCATCATATGCCATTTCCTTTACTTTCATTAATGCGGTTTTCAATAGATACATATTAGATGCAAACACAATGAAAGATACAAATGATACTGAACACTTCCAAACGCGAGTAATACATTATAAAGTTCGGGCAGTGAGTGAAGATATGAAATTTTTTAATTCGGCTTTTTCTCATGATAAATCTATTGAAAGTAGGGTCAAAGAGGAAAATAATAGTGAGTTTCTATCAGATCGAATAATAAATTGATAATCTTCTGTCTTTTTGCGACATACACTTGCGCTTAATTTTAATGAGCTGATCAATCAAAGAAAACTTTTCAGCTACATTCACACCTGCGAATTTTCCATCACTTTTTTCCTTTGACAAGCTTTTCATGTCAGTTTTGATAGCAAAATTTGACAAGTTTTTTCTTGGCCCGGAAGCCTTCCTGTTTGAGAGCCGACATGACATGGCGAAAACCCAAGAACCGGCAAATCTGCTGGTGTGGGGTCTTATCAAGGTAATCACTTGTCAAGTAGATTTTAAGGTTTGCTCGTTTGTTTACTCACCTTTTTGTTGACAAGTGAAATTGCCTGATGACTGATCCAAATGTCTCTTAATACAAGATTCTTAAACAACATCTCTGTCTCTCAGTGACGAAAAAAAAAACAATAGACATACAGTTTTTCTTAAAAATACATATTTACCAGTTTATCGGTGAAATCTTGAAGTGGACGAGAGCGCAACGTCACATTCTTTTTCAATGCTGTTAGAAAGTCACCGCAAATAATTTTTGGAAGTCAATCAAACGATCGACACCAACTGTCAAAAGGTATTCTCTTAACAAAACGATCTTGAAATATAAACAAAAATGTAACATACGCCAAGAACAGACATCCGGTAAATGTAACAAAACAATGGCACATTTAAGATATAATCTTGCTGCGGCGAGTGAACAAAACGAATCAAAACGTTCCAAAAAGCCCCCACCCCTTCGTGTGAACTGATAAAGATCTCAACAGAGATATAGAAAAACATGAGAGACCTTCTAGAAAACCTTTCGGAAAAGAAATGTGCTGGTTTAGCACTAAATCAGAATAATGATGACTTATCAAAGAAGACTTCTTAAACAGTTGCAAATTTAATATATGCAAATTCTGAATCTTAGGATATTCGCTGTCTCTACAAAAAACATACACAACTTTACGAAATGATTGATCATTCAAAAGGACTGAATAGTCTTTTTCTCCTTATTCAACACTGGAGTGGTCAAATGTACGTTTGGGAAATCTTCCTTCCCACGAAAAGGGCTGTCGTTTTGTATATCTTTAAATATCGAAGGGATTTTTGTGTTAATTTCATATTTATAACAAAAATCTCCCCTCCCAAAATAAAGGAAAACAAAAAGGTTGAGTTAAGCGAAAAATTATTTTTGTACTCACGAAATATCCTGAAGTTCTGGCTGGGACATGAGCTATGCTTCGAAAAAGAATGAAATGGTTCCAAGGCTAAAACTGAGAAATAATGCCCGACAACGCTTTTTCTTCGGCCGTGGTTTGAGCAGATTCAATTAAAAGCTTTCTTTCGACAAACCAATCAACGATCTGACGAATGATTTTTCATTGATTGAGTAATGTTTTCGAGAAGAAAGCATGTCAGAAGAGCTTAGTGTACATCACTATGCTATTTTCACCAATTTAGTTTGATATGATAATTACTAGACATTTAATCACGTCGCACGATCGTTAATTAAGTGATGTACACTAGTGTGTGTACTATGGCAAATATCAGTTATAAGATGTTTCAAAACGTAGGCAAACAGCGCGGTGCAAAGAGTTCGAACAAATATGTACACGGAAATGAAAGCGTCCGATTTCATAATGTTCCTGTCGATACTTTAAATACTTTCAATCATTTCCTGTTCTGCGAGAAATTCTGGAAAACTCTCTGCCAAGGAGGAGAGTTTTTTTCAAGTTGAC